AAGGCGATTTACGGCTGGTAATCTTTCATAAATTGTCTGGTTAAAAAGTATTTCCGGTGTCACTTGAGTCCTTTGTAATTAATAGCGCCTAAGCGTGATCAACACAACTGATATTAGAGTTGAGTTCAGTGCAGTTCCTTTGTATTTCTCTTGCGAAATTATCCAATTGTGTTCTTTGCTTCATGAGTCATTTCAGATGTGAAATATTTTGCCATTTAAAGTTACCTTTCGTGASTAGTGTCAGAATTGATCTCCTATTGTCTCGGCTTGATTAATTAAAACAGTTATAAACTAGTACACKGCACAGTTTGAAGGTGAGTGTTTTTAAATCCAAGTTTKTTATAGACACATTATTTAGACCCGCATCCTYCATTAGATCTAGTTTTATCACAGACCTATGTGCCTACATGGCTTTTTGTACAGCACCGCATATTATTGTGACATACATGARCACATTTTAACAAATTTTGCGATAAGATCTGTGTAAGGCTTTTTAAGTGGACGTTTGCGGACTTTGATGCCAGAAGTGTCCAGCTCATAAAATGAGCAGATCTCTTCCAGTGTCGAAATTTATCCAACTTGTTGCGTGAAGCGTAGCTGCAAAGGTTGTAATTATSGTACATTATTGGGTGGCGAACGGAAATTGCCCCGATGACCTCACTGTGCAAATCTTGTAGCATTTTCTCTGCGATAGCGCCTTGTTTGTCTTTTTGGGCCTCAGTAGCATCGCGAGYGGTGGCCTTTCTCCTCTTTGTCGTTTCACGTGAGAAGAAACCAGATATTTGCTGCGCCGTCAGATATTCTGTAGCAGTGAACTTAGGTTCGCCACTAGGAAGCCYTGCCTTTTTCATCGCTCTTGAAACGGACACAGGATCGGCTTTTTGGCCAGTTTCCTCACCGATTTGGTAGAATTGTAGCAAGTACTCTTTCTGTTTTTCTGTAAGGCGTTTATATCCCTTGGTGCTCTTAAGGGCCCAGCCCATTTTTAGGGCATGAATATCAACACTTCTATCTTCAGCTGCAGGTATAAAGATCTGTGGTACCTCACAAGTTGATCCCTGTTCAAGCTTTGATGCGTACATCATGATTGCCTTATCAAACAGGGTTTCGCGCTCTAGAGCGTACTTGTGCTTCCCACAGTCAAGGTGGTTTTGYAGTGAGGTATGTCTCTGRAATGACTTTACACAGCCTTCCTCAGGACAAAAGAACAAGCTCTCATTTTCGGAACTGTCACCTGTAAGCTCTTGTGCATCCATATCGCTGGGTTGCTCAGGTGCTTTGGTCTTGGGACGTCGCCTAGCAGTAGTATCAGTGAATGTAGCCGAGGCAGAGATGGCACTTAATTCATCACTTAATTCATGAGAGTCATTTAGTGTTGCCGGTTGACACTCTTGTGGGATATTGAAATCCTTCCATAATTTAAGTTTGCCTTTGCCAATTCCGTAGGCTCGCCAGACTCTAATACCTTCCTTGTAAAACTTCATGTTATTTAGGAGACTGATYCCTTCCCATTTAGCTGAAAAAGGCACTTCGTCACTCTGCTGACCACACAACCGCACTCGTACCCCAGGTACACCACCACGTGACTCTAAAGCTGCCACCATCTGCTCCGCCGTCTCAATGTCGTGGCCTTCATTAAGATGTATCTTCATTTTGGCTTTCAAGGTTGCAGCTTTCCGGTCACAAGCCCCTTTACCTCCTTGCGGGTCAGAAAAATCCATGGACAGMGTTATTTTGTACTTGGTTGCRATTTTGTAGATAGAGAGCAGCACTTCAGTAGAGTGRTAGCACCCAGCATTGTCTTGTCTGAGATGGAAGGAGGTRATGTCTGGAGCAATGCACTTCAGTTGATGGAAAACATCGTCGATGATAGCTAAGACTGTRTAGCTAGCCTGGGAGCATTTTTCGAAGACATGTACAAAGGTCATCATTTGTATATTTCCATCGACACCTTTTCGCATAGCCACTGTTATATGCCAGCTGAGACCGCGTTTTCCAAACCAGTCGCTCTGCGCCTCACGGTACTTTCTAGGCAAGAACTTCATTGCCCAATCGAGAACAAGGAGTACAGATTCTGCATCAAGATTATTTAGGATGTCCAGCCTTGCTTGATCTTGATTTATGGAGCGAATGATGTGAGCTTTCCATGCGTAGATGTTTTCTTTAGCTTGYTCGAATTGGTACTTTATTTGGTCTTTATAAGCTCCATCCTCAAKGCTTTCTAGCACTTCGCTCACCTATATTGACAATGACGTTTGAAACATTAGTTCCTATTGCGACTCATTCAGATCATTTTGAAAATCTAAATAATACTATGTCTTTAATCCTCATACAAGTACATTCATACATCTCATTATTACCAATTTTCAACATTCACATCATCTTTATCATCATCATATTTCTATACCTCAGTGACAAYAGTAGGGAATATATCACAACGGTCACACGTATCCTTATGCTCGTGGTCACATTTGGATTTGTAGTCTTCATCACGGGAATCGCTCAAAGCATATATCTTGCAGTGATCAGGCACTGTGGAATTKTGGGAAATRTGAACCTGCATAGAGACATGTTCAAAATTAAGAAATGCATTTCKGAAAACAAAGATTAAATGTGGTAGAGTATCAATCTTRTTCAYTACCTTGTAATCAGTTTTTAAATATCTTTTTGCATTTTTCAACTTTTCATTCTGCTTCTTTGCCCATGTGAGACCTTTATCGCATTCATCTCCCAGCTTCTCAATAACTTCTTGTAGCTCTTCAAAGGCTTTAGAACCTTCTGCGGAAAAGTTATCAAGCCCCTGCAACGATTTTCGTACGGACGCAGAACACACATTTAGTATACGATATAAGGTACTTCTGCTCATCGAAGAAAAGCCARTTTCGTCACAATGACTTTCATACTGCTTTACAATTTGCGCAGGGATCATTGTTCTTACAACATTTGGCACTTTGACATCAACGTTTGAGGATAGTTTGAGTGACTTTTCTCCAAAGGGCAGATCTTGAACGATATGGGCACTTGTGATGAAGGACAAAAAGTGGTCAAGTTTTTCTGGTGGAACATGAATCCGGGCTGTGGAATGGACAGGAACAATTGACCCTCTACCATGTAAAAGTCGATGATGTCTGGCAATATTGTAACGATATCTGGACAGTTCTGGAATCCATTTTTGGAGATCTTTATAAGAAATTTTATCTGCAATGATTGAAAGAACCTGTCTGCGCGTACTCCAATGGCTGGCGTTGTTGTAACATTCAGTTAGGGCTTCTAAAAGGGTTGTATCAACATTGTCGCAATCTTTGTGTGTATTTGCCACTGAATCTAAAAGACGTTGATGGTCTTGGGGAGCAATTTCTTGAAGGCAGGCGTCAACGATTTGATTGGCCTTTCTAGTGTACAGACGTTTTGTTCTGTCTGACGCTGTGTCCCATGATACCATTAAGGAGTGTCTGATTGGACTAACATCTCGTGACGCTAAAAATGCATTTAGATGATCTCTTGGAGTAGTCTCGGATAATTTATCTTCTTCCTCTGTGAAGGATATGGATGCCGCTTCAGAGGGTTGATAAAGGCTGACGGGTGTATTTACTTGTATTATAGAGGTTGACACGATTGGAGTAGCAACATTTAACGGTTTCTTGAATGTTATTTCTGAATCTTTCTCCAGCTGTAAGAAATKTTTGAATAAGATTAATCAGCTATTTAAAGAATGAAAATATAATCAATCACTGATTATAGACTTCTTTGCAGCCGCGCAGTCGTGAACTAGATAGTATATAGCAGGTATATAATGACAACCKTTTCCCAGAAGTGCGGGATCCCTGTGTTAACGTAAAAGTTCGGCTGAGGATGTGAGGAGCTTGTTACCAAGTTTATGTCTAGCCTTTAACAAGCGAACAGGTGTAACAGTTATTTATACATCAATATTTATTGTCTGTACACTCACGATGTGAAGATTTTCAAATTCCATTGTGACATCGAATGATTCCTCTTTTAGCTCGTGGCTGAACTTCTTTTGGCAATTTGTACACATCCCTGAGAGAAAATGTAACTTATATTTGCTACTTTGTTGTAGTTTTGAAATAATAATAATAATAACATCCACTTTTGTGAATTATTATTACTCACCAGAACCAACTTGGATAAGTTTTCCGGTGCGCTTTAAGAGTAATTGAGATATACGTGTAGTGACACCTCTGTCTGCCTTGGGCAGCTTCCCTTTGTGTCCAGATTCTTCTTCTGGTATTCTGCATCTAGCATTGCAGCCCCGACTCCAACCAACACCAAGTACAGAACGATGATTGGGACAAACTGTAATCTCTTCTATGTTGCGCGGTTTTTTAACTAACATGCCAGCGCGCGTCAATATCAACTCAAGTTCATTCTGAGGGCCAGAAAACTTACAACTYCGCAAGTGACTGCTTATGTCTCTTTTACATGATAGTATAGGTATCACCYGAGTGTCATGTACACGATCTTTACGATCAAAACCGCAGATTCCACCAACAATCGCCCTAAGCGAACAGCAAATCTCCATTGCGACAAATTTACTTTTGAGACAAAGAGCGGTGACGTGTGTGGTCTGMCTTGGAATYTCACTTTATTGGTAATACATAAACAGCGCGTGCCAATGAAGTGTCTACAATCAAACTGTAGACGATAGATAATACCGAAGAAAAACAACTCTTTAATTCTAGATAAAAAGAAATTAACTCGGGAAGCAAAGAACACAATTGGATAATTTCGCAAGAGAAATACAAAGGAACTGCACTGAACGCCACTCAACTCTAATATCAGTTGTGTTGATCACGCTTAGGCGCTATTAATTACAAAGGACTCAAGTGACACCGGAAATACTTTTTAACCAGACAATTTATGAAAGATTACCAGCCGTAAATCGCCTTAAACTTCAACAGCCTACAGGTTAGAGTCGAGAAAAAATGATTCTTTATAATAAACAAGAGTAATTTCCAGCCCGCTAGGTACCTGTATGTAGATTTCACCGTAAGTAAACAATCGAATTTTACCAAACTTTGAACTCAATCCTCGTAAATATCAAACAATTACTCAAACAAATTTTTACATCATGTAAACAAACATCATTTCGACTTTCAAAATCCAAAAGATCAGCGAATTTAGTTATATCGCACATAGTTTAAATGACCGTTATTTAGAGGATACTTTTATCGTGATAAAAAGTATGGCGAATGAAGAAATTCGTTAAAAAATGAGTATTGAACCAAACTCTTTCATAATAACAGTCAATGAAGTACATATAATAAGTAACAYAATATCATATTAGCAATCCAAAAGGTCAAAGATTTTCGTCACACAAGCTCACTTAAAATAGTCAATTTCAAGCGCTTCTAATTAGCATATTTACCCGACCCGACTAAAATAAATATTTCTCTAAAACAAAAGCGTATTTTGACAAACAAAGTATACCACGATGATTGGGATATAATAGGCAACAAATTATAAAAGTATGAGCAAAATCGATTTTTGGGCTGTTGCCGCTATATGTTTGACCCTTGTGGACATCCGCTCTTAAATGTCTTTTCCTGGTATACATAATAATACTTATATCTCTATAATCAATATGTATCACAACTCTCATACATAATAATAACTCAACAATGTTCCATCACATGAGGACAGTCCAAGTTTACACATAGTCTTTTAGATAGGTTGGTCTTCTTCTGTTCCTCTGTGGTCTTGCTTCAGCTTGCTTGGCTGGTGAATGGACTTGCGGTGGTTTCTGCACTTGATCTTGGTTTGCGTTAACATTTTCAGTTACTCCTGATGCTGCTTGAGTATCGTCTGCTTCTTCCTCTGCTTCTCCGAGAATTTTCTTCCTCCAGTCTTCATCTTTCACTGCTTCAATTGAGTCTTCAGAACTTGAGATAACTTCATTGACTTGCTTAAAGTGGCTGGAGTCTCTGCGTATCTCTCTTCCGTCCTTGATTCTTCTGGCTGAAATAGTAGATCCTTCTATTCTGTAGATGATATAGAATGCTGGTTCGTATGCTGTCGTCCACTTGTTTTTCTTTGTCTGTTTCACTARGACRTAGTCTCCGATGATGTAGTTATGTTCTTTAGTGTTCTTATTTTCTCTGTATTTCTTTATCTTTTCTTTGTACTCTTTGTCTCGTTCGTTGATTTGTTCCTCGCGTTGCTTTTGCTGAGGCTCTATCGTTRGGTAATGGTCAAGTTTCGTTCGTACCTTTCGATTCATCAATGCTTCGTATGGAGTTACTCCYGTGGCGGGGTGAGGTGTGGAACGGTATCCAATAAGCATATCCTGTATGGCTGTGGTTGTGTCCTTTTTTTGTAAGTTAGCGATCTGTTCAGTTTTGTTGAGCGTTTTCATGAAGCTTTCTGCCTCTCCGTTGGTTCTTGCGTGACAGGGTGTGACTTTGTGGTGACGGAAATCCTTCTTTTTCTGCAAAGACTGCGAAGTCCTTTGAATTGAAGGGTGGGCCGTTGTCACTTTCGACCACTCTGCGGGGTGTACCATGTGTTGTAAAGATCTTCTTTAGTTTGTTGATCACAGGTTTGCTTGATGTGGTGCTTAGGCGTTCTACCTCAACATACCTCGTTCTCTTATCCCTTACTACTAGTTAATAGTGTCCGTCGGGATATGGTCCTCCAAAGTCGATAGCTATGGTCTCCCACGGTTCTCTTGGGATTGTTCGTGACTTGATTGGTTCTTCTCGATGGCTTTTCACCGTCACCTGACACTCAAAACATTGTCCGATTATCTGTTCTACTAGATTATTCATGGTCGGAAACCAGTACTTCTCTCTAAGCATCTGTTTTGTTTTTGTTATTCCTAAATGACCAAGTCTGTGAGCTGTCTTCACCACCTTTCTTTGCAACGTGGCTGGTACGACGATCTTATTGTCTCTTAGAATTATTCCGTCAACTTCATATAATTCTTGCCTGATATGGAAGTACGGTGTTATGTCTGGATCTTTGCGATGTCGAGCCCAATCTCCTTTAATCATTCGTTCACTCAGCTTCTGGAGTTGCTCGTCTTTTGCTGTTTCTTCTCGTATCTTGTCCAGTACGATGGCGTGACTTGCTTCTGTGACCTGCTTGATGATTGCTTCAGTTTCTTCTTCTTCATTGCTTGGTAGTGGATGCCTTGATAAGAAGTCTAATGGATCTTGTTCATCCTTGCCAGGTTGGTAAACGAGTTCAAAATCCACGTCTGCATGTTCATTATCCATTTCTCTATCCTTGGTGGAATTTCGCTGTTGATTTATTGAACATAGGTATGAGTGGTTTGTGAGCTGTTATTATCTTGAATCTAGGTGATCCTAGAAGATACATCCTAAATCTCTCTTTAGCCCATGCGATGGCTAAAGCGTCTTTTCTGTCTGACTGTAGCGTTTCTCTGTATCGGTCATGGTTCGGCTGATAAAATGAACAGGTTGCAGACCTTTTTGTGTTTGTTGGAACAGTCCTGCCGAGATTCCCTCGTGGAAACTGGCTTCTGTTGGGACTATAGTTGGTCTTGTTGGATCGAAGTATGCAATTGTATCTTCGCTGGTGATACTATCTTTGAACTTTTGGAAGGCTTCTTCTTCCTTTTCTCCCCAAGTAAACCTTGTGTCGCTGTGGGTGAGGGCTCTAAGAGGTGCAGTCAATGTGGAGTATCTTGGAATGAACTTTGATGGATACCCTCTCTACTTTCATTTTCACCAATTCTAATTGGGTATACCTTCTCATTTTTATAGCCGTATACGTTAACTCCATATTTTGGATTCTTCTTTTCAAATATATTGATTTTGTCCACTTGTACTGGGAATTCAATACCATCCCAGTTGAATTTTTCTGCGTTTGTTTTCATAGCTTTTGAAATCCTTTCTAAATCTCTCTTTGCTGGATATACTGCTGCTGTAACTGCCCATTTGAAACATTGACTATCCTCGTTTTTTGGGTTCACAACAGGTCTGATTTTTAAATAAACCCTTTATTTCGATACAAATTTTGAATAGTGTTGCGTATTGATAATTTTATATTAAAAGAATCAATTTCTACATTATAATACACAGACAATCATGATAAACCTTCATTGCGTGACACTTAAGGTCGTGACAACTCAGACACACGTCTGATTGTCTGGAGTTGTTGTCAGATTTTGATGTGATTTTGTCGTTTTTTTTAATCGCTATATCTCCAAGAATATAAATATCCCAAGACAAATTTTTGTATATTATTAAAGACCGATCTTTCCTCTATCGAAATACAAAATATCAAGAAAATCGAAAATATACCGGGCAGGAAAAATTGATATTCAAAAAGTCTAGTAAATCAAGAAGTTTTTTAATCGCAAAATTGTCCACATTTTGACTGCTTTTTATGGTTTTAAAAATGAGCTTGCGAAGTCAAAATTTACATCCAGATGTTTATTATTATCTTTCATTGACGATTATGAAGTCGATTGATGTCTTTATTTGTTTTAAATGGATCAAATAAAACGTTTAAGAGCAGTCATAATCACGCGATGTTTTTGTCAATTTCAGCCATTTCTAGTCAGTGTCAGGTTTTTCCAAATTTCTCGCGTTTAAAATAAAATTTTCGAAAATAAACCCCACCACGATTCTTAGTATATAATAGGGTCTCAATGGTTAAAATATGAAGGATTTTGATTTTTCATCATGTGCCACCCTTTGTTCGGTGTTAGTAGACATTCGCTCTTAAGCCGGTAGGAAAATCTAGCGTGCTCCGTTTTTCTGTTTTATCTCGTCGCCGAAGCTCATCCATGGCACAAGATCCGGTCAATCCTGACCCCGCTCTCCTTCAAGACTTACAAGTTGTCCCGGTTCAACAGCACGTTCCGGCTCAACATGAACAAGCGGCAGTTCAACAACAAGCGGCAGTTCAACAACAAGTTCAACGGCAAAACGATGCTCCAGCTCAGGTTGAAATCCTCCGGCACAAGCTAATGCACCGCCCAACGAGGTATGATTTTATGTTCGTCTTCCCGGTGTAGTTATTTTGCTTTAATTAACCGTCTGTTGGTTTATTGCGTTAGACCACATGGAATTTTCAAGCTATCGGACCGTTTCTTATTGCGGCTTCGGTCGTTTTGCTGTCTCGCCGCGCCCGTTATTAGCGTTCTTAGCGTAGCCTAAGTCTTCGCTAGCTTTTGCAAGTGTTTATACTTCATATAAACCTCCTTGCCGTTTTTACTGTTAGCCAGAGTTAGTCCCTCGCGGACGCTCACTCGTTCGTGTTGTATTTTTTATTTTATTTTTATTACATACACTTTATAGTTACTTGGTTTGCTATGTTATACTTCAGTTTTATTTACGTCCTCATAGCTCTTGTTTTACGCTCATTTACGCCCTTATAGTCATCCTTTATTGTTGTTAGCTACATTTGTCATGTTTTTCACGTTTTCAGCGTTATAATTTTAGTCTTTAGTATGTCCTTATGTCCTAGTTGTATCTATTTTCATTTTATCAGTCAAAATTTATTGCTTTCATTGGCATTTGGTCGTGTGTCGACCCTAGTATCAGCAATTAATATGGAGCGTGGATCGTGTGTCGGTCAGGCCGTGTGTCGGTCGGAAAAGTCTAGGATTCCGCTGCCGTTTGGTCGTGTGTCGACCCTAGTAACAACAATTGTGTATGGACCGTGTGTCGGTCGGAGAAAAGTCTATGATTTCACAGGCGGTTGGTCGTGTGTCGACCCCTGTTTCAGTAATGGAGTATGGACCGTATGTCGGTCAGGCCGTGTGTCGGTCGGAAACATTGACGGTTTCAATGGCTTGGTCGTGTGTCGACCCTATAGTTTCAGCAATAGAGTATGGGCCGTGTGTCGGTCAGACCGTGTGTCGGTCCGAATACGTGTGACTTTCACTGGCGTTTGGTCGTGTGTCGACACTTAAAGACGGGTAGTTTACCCAGTCTAGCCACACTTATAGCACTAATTGAATATGCTTTACACATGTTTACATTTTCGGCTTCAAGTTCGTGAATTCACTTTTGTTTAAGAGGCTTATAGGCGATTTACTTCCGCATGTTGTTCCTAAGTTGTAATTAAAAGTATGTCAGCTACTTCCTCATATGTTATAATTTAAAGTACATAAGTAACAGGCTCAAGGCTTGGCCAGGCATTTTTGTATGTGAATATGTTCTCACAAGTGCGCTCATTTGTTACTAATAGGTTGGTCTTGCAAACCTACAAAGCCAGATAGATGAGTTCAGACGTTTACATGATGTATCCAACGTTGACGCCGCCTTAGCGCTATTGAGACAGCATCTTTCCAAGCCTCCTGCCCTGTTCGATTCGTTCACAGCCTTGGCAGCCCTAGAGCAGTTGGTAGACACTGCGCGAGAAAGAGGAGACGATAGGGCCTCTCGTTTAAATGTAGTCTTGAAACAGTCAAGACCGTTAGTCCACGATCCGTCCTTGCAAAGCATCCTGTTGAAACTTGTAGGAAGTAAAGACGAAGTAGAGCCGGGTGGTGGGTGGTTCCCTCCTGTTTTTTGTTTTCGCACATTGTTGCATAGTATTGCAAATAGGTTTATTACATGCTCAAAGTCTACTTGTCGTTTCTTTATTCCCATAAAAGTTTGTCCTTGTCTGTTCTAGTCATTTAAAGACACTTTAACAAGTTGTATTGGGCATCCCAACAAGGAATACATTTGCAATTGGGAGGGAAAACCCACCACCTGGTCTGGGCCACTTCCATCGGTCGACATGGTTTCTACAGGGGTTTGTCATGCGTCGCCAACCCAAATTTGTTTTCGAGACCCGACATTTTTTGTGGCTGGAAATATCCACAAAAAACGTCTAGCGTGGGAAAATGTGTTAGCTGTTCCGGGCGCCGATCCTCGTGTTCAAGAATGGATTGTGGAGGGGGTAGACGTACGACATTTTTTCACTCACTTTAAAGGCCAGTTTCAGGGAGATAGATATGATTCGGATATTCCTCCCCGCGCCATTTTTCCTAATTCTACGTTATGCGTTAACTTTGACGATTTTATCACCGCAGCTGTATTAGAGAGAGTGCGCAACGGTTCTCTTGAGGTCTGGGGGGAGGTTGGACAAGTCAACCCTCCACATCTGGTCATGCCTATCACCATAGAACCCCAAAAACCCCGAATGTGCCACGATGAACGCTTCTTAAATTCTTGGATAAAAGACTCGCCGTTTTCTTTGGACTATATAACCGACCTTCCCAGATACGTTGGAGTCGGACACTTTCAAACTACATTTGACGATAAGAGTGGCTACGACCACGTGCGACTCCACCCTTCCTGTCGGGAATACTTTGGTCTAGAGTGGCGAGGTTGGTATTTTGTGTACACAACATTACCGTTCGGATGGAAGGCAAGCGCGTTCGTGTATAACTCCATTGGCCTTGTAGCGACCAATTACATCCGCTCTTTAGGAGTCCCGTGCCTGCAGTACATAGACGATAGACACGCAGGTCAGTTACGCCTTCACTCACGCTACAAGAATAGATTCACAGATTTCCAGTTAGCCGAAATGGCTTGTTTCATTGCGTGTTCGGTGCTCCTATCCTTGGGCTATTTTTTGGGACTTAGAAAATGCGTGTTCCAGCCCCAAAAAGTGGTGCGTTTTCTAGGCTACCTGTGTGATTCCGAAATTTGCAAGCTTTCATTCTTCCAGAGGACAAAAGAATTAAATTCGCGGCCCTTCGAGAATCTATATTGAAACTTAGCTCTGTATCTGTAAAGAACCTACAAAGATTCGCAGGCAAGACAACATCATTTGCTCTACTCGTCCCTGCTGCAAAATTGTTTTCCAACAACGTGTTCCAGGCAATTTCAAGCGCCCAAAGGAGCAACTCGCGCAGGCGCTGTATTAAAATGACGGATCATCTGAGAAATGAAATAATGGAGTGGCGCTTTTTGGACACCTGGTCGGGATTCCTTCCATGGAAAGACGAAAAGCATGTGAGCGTCACCCTCCATACTGACGCCTCAAACACGCCTCAAACACGCTTACGTCCTTAATGGTACACGTACGTAACGCACGTGTCGATGCCCTCGTGGACAAGGCTGTTGTCGACAGTTGGAACCGCCACATCTCCAAGTCTCCCGCAATCTCAGGGATCATGAAGGATTTGTTTACATTCTCATTGGAAAACAATATCTCATTGGTCGTACACTTCGTTCCATCCACTCTTAATATTGCCGACTCGCTTTCACGTACCGTCTCCGACTTGGATTGCACCCTTTCCCAGTCAGCGTGGCACATCATTGACACCACATTTGGCCCACACACAATTGATCTCATGGCTATACCCGACAACGTTAGGTGCGGTTAGGTTTTTTTTTTCGTTTTTGCAACGTTAGGTTTTCTCTTATTCTAAACGTCTTATGGCTCATAGTATACTCTGTCGTGGGTCTTTTTCAGCCCCTACCCGAGGTACCAAGGCTTTGGACTCCAGCCGTTCAGTGTCCCTCTTGCGCGTATCCCAACGATTCTACCTTCTCATTTTGCCAGAGATGTGGGTACGTAAGAAAACCTGTCAGCAGTAGCAGTCCGCTCCGCAAACTACCTTTGGACTTGTCAAAAATAGATACTCGCCTACAAACCCTACACAGCGCAAGCCAAAACAAAGCATACCAGAAGCAGATCTCCAAACTGCGTGTAGAACTGGAGCACTTCCTTAGGTCGTTACCCCAGCCTAAGTCGGTACACAGCGCCACACCCAATGACGTTACACGTTTTTAGTGTGGAAAGACAACTCAGGGAAGACCAAAGTTCATACTCCATCATGCCCTTTGTTCGGTTCTAAGCGTCCCAATTCGTGCCCTTGCCCATCCAGACTGGCCGCGGGAACGGTCGATTGCATGATTGGTAAACTGAGATCACTTTTTGCGGACATAGGGGGTGAGTGGAACGACATATTGGGAGTAGGTAATCCGACTTCCCATAGGAGCGTCAAGGCATACTTAAAGTCTATACGGGAGGAACAAGCCGCGTCAAGAGTCACACCCAAGCAGGCTATTCCAATCTTTTTTGAAAAACTGTCGAGCTTATGCCTATACTTATGCGGAAAAGCCTTCCAAAATGATATTTCTCCGACCTCTCGCTTCCTGTTCGCAAGGGATCTAGCCTCTTCTGTCTCAACTTTTACGCTGGTGATAGAGCCTCAGACCTGGGGCGCGTTTTTACTAAAGAAGTCCTCACTTCGCCAGACGGGCAGTTTCTCTTGTTCCGTCATACGTTTGGAAAAACCCTTAGAGGCACGGACACGAACGTTTTCAAGGTAAAAATGTGCGAAAACCCTACAGTGTGCCCGGTTGCGAATATTAAACTCTATGTCAGCATCTGTGATCTTATGGCTATCAATTTAAGAGATGGATATCTTTTTCGGGTTACAGACAAGAARGGTTTAGTCTCCGAGTCGCCTTTTATGGGCTCCGCAGTTGGCAATCGCTTGTCTCTACACCTAAAGTCGTTAAACCCTTACGAGGGTGAGTCCGCACATAGCTTCCGTAGTGGCTGTGCGATAACCCTGACACTCCTTGGCGTTTCACAAGAAGAGGTCGCTAAGCATGTGGGATGGAAGTCTRTTGCCACAGCAGAGTATTACTCCTAGTGTAGTAAAGTCATGGGCTCTGGAAAGACTGCATCAACACTTGCCACTGCAACATTGATATGTCGCAGGGCAGATTTGCTGTGTGACCTGAACAGGCAAAGCTGCGCGTCGGAGCGAATCGCGYCTCCCATATCTTAATCCCCTTAACCGGGACAATGAGTGGTCACAGCATCAGAGAGGATATCTTACTATCCAAGCTAGCCGGAGTTGCATCCAGCGTTTACAATAAACCAGATGTACGCAGGCTAATCCAAGCGTGCGCGGCGGCGATGTTCCTATGTAATGTCCATAGAAACTTTCGGTCTACCTTCTGTTTGAAATAGGATTTATGGAATATTCAACACATGGTGTCCAGTTTAGATTGACGTTAGCCGGGTATAGAGATATAAATTGTAGAGTATTTGGTGTGAATTATCTTAACGTTGTTTGATTGCATTAAGGTAGATTGTTCCAGAAATTGATTGAACCGCTTGTAAACAATTGCTGACATCGTCATTTTCAAATGAGCAACCCAGGTGCTGAATTACAAGTTACCAATAAATTCAAATATAGTTTTATTCCTTAAGTGCTAGCGTAAAAATAATAAACCGAATCATTTTTCATTTTGGCGTTTATAAGTAAGATCGTTTATTTGAAGGGCCGGATGCGAAAACGGCCTAAGTGACGATTTACGGTATTTTTGAAATTTTCGAAAAATGAAAAAAAAAAAAAAATACATCCAATCATTTGTTTCTGGTCTAAATAATCATGTTTGCTAGTTATTTCTCGTGATTTCTTTAAAAAAAGGGGTGAAAAAGCCTCATTTAGTTACGTACTGTACCCTCCCCTCCTCCAAACTTTAGCTTAGGGTTAGTTTCAGCCTTATGCACTAGGGTTAGGGTTCCTATAACCTAAGACAGGGTCTAGGGTTCCTTGATTTAGGGTTAGGGTTAGAAAGGTTAGGGTAGGGTTAACGTTAGCTAAGGGCTAGGCTCTAAAATCGGAGTTTTGAAAGCAAACAACACCCCCCCTCCTCCTCCCCCCGAGTCCAAACTTTGAAGTTTGAATAATATCACTTAAACAGCATGGATGACTGAGCTACTCATTTTGACATTGAAAAGCCAGTCAAGCGACAGTTGAAGTCACAAAAATTAAGCGAAAAAAGGGCAGTTGTGACGCTAATTCTCGCCTACAGTGACTAAAAAAAGCACTATTTCGTTGTTTTTGTTTACTACAACATTCTAGATTTCAACAAGCGAATAACTGTTTGTACCAAAATTCAGTCGTACGTCTGTCATTTAAGCGTTTTATTTTTCAAATTTTCCCATAAACACCTCAAGCTACGGCTTTCTCTTTGGACACTGATTCAGAACACGTGTTTTAACCGGATTCTTCCGCGCAATGAATTCTGGGAGGTTTTTACATGCCGCGAAGCGGACATTCCATCTCCTCTGAAATAGAAATTTATAGAAAGTCTACAGCCTTCTCGGAATTCTGCCAAAATTTCAAGTCGATTGTGTTCCTCAATAGCCAAAACATCCAAAAATTACTGTGGCAGCTCCAAGGATTTGCCTTTAGACGGTCTTTTAAGTGATTCTCTTTAAGCGAAGGTCCAAATTAATCGAATGAACCGCGTAAGCAAAATCGCTTAAAAAGTCACACACCAAGCTGGATTCTTTCAGCAAGTAAGCTCCTTCGCTACCTACAAACTTAATGATGTTCGTAGAGTAGTGACTAAAGGCAAAAAGGCTGAAAAAACCGCGAAACAACGCATTTCTCGACTTCTTGCAGTACAGCTTCGAACCAAAACAAACGGCCGACAAACCAACTGTCAAAGTCACGAGTTGTTAGCTTGAATATGCAAATCTAAGATATTTTACGGTCTAGCGATCAGTTGTCAAGCCAWAGAAGTCCRTAACTATGGGTCTKTTTTTGCTCTTTTTAGAAAGAAATCAGGAGAAATAAGTGCTAAATAAGATTATCTAGACTGAAAATAAGCGATTGAAGTGAGTTTTTTTCAATTTTTCGAAAATTTCAAAAATACCCTGAATCGTCACTTAGGCCGGTTTCGCATCCGCGCCTTCATATCAGGCCAGCTGATTCACTTAGACGGCAAAGTTGACTCTTTTAACTTAGACGACGACATTGTCTGGTTTCCTAATTGACTCAGACGTTAAAGTGTCTACCTAACTGACTTAATGAGATGACTTGTCTGGCCAGCTGTCTGACTTAGACAGAAAAGTGTCTATTTTTTGGTCTATTTAGACATAGTTACTATGATTTAGACGGGCCAACAGTTCGACTTAGACGGAAAAGTGTTTGGCTAACTGTGTGATTTTGTTGTCTGGCTAACTGTGCAGTTTTGACGGCAAAATGACTGATTAACTGAGTGACCTACAATTCAGTGTCATGACTAATTTTGTCTCATGACGTTTGAAATATTCTGTCTACCGTTCATCAACTGGATACCACTAGAAATAACGTCCCAGCCCCAGTAAAGTCCTCATACACAGCCGTCGTTATATTTCCATCACTTTTGTTGATATCGTTGATATATAATATATATGTGTGAGATTTATTACAAATTGTACAATATACCTATAAACCGTAACGAAAAACCACACGAATGTACATAAAAATATCTTTCAATGCCGACTGTACATTTGAAATCAAGAATAAGTTAGTTGTTCACGTATACATCAGTATACAAAAACAAAAACAACAAAAAACGTGTATATACATAACCAGATGTTATTGTATCACCATATATTTTTGCGGATAAAAAGCATTCAAAGTCAATTAAAAATGGCATTAAAACGATGTGCTTTTTATCCAAGCTGCCCTTCTAACTGTTATCCCCGCTCCCTTTTGATGTTTCATCGATTATTTTGGCACCATTGGTTCTTCACTTTTGCTAGACTCCTTTATACTCCTGATTACTGATCAACAGGATTCCGGTACAGCTTGTGCACCTCTGTTCTCTGCATCAGTTACAGGTAGTATTCTGGTTTCCTCATCGTTGCAAGGCTCCTCAATGTCGCCCGGGTTATCAGTACAGTTATCAGGCACTGTAGGGGGTATTGCTTTTTCTTCACTGTTGCTTGGCTCCTCTAAGTCTTGTGTGTTATCAGGCACTGTAGGTGGTATTGCTTCTGGGTTACCGGCATCATTGTTTTCTTCATGGTTACATGGCTCTTCTGTGTCTCCTACGTTATCGGCAGGGGTAGCCTCAGTGGTTGATATTGCTACTGGCGCCTCGTTTGTTTCATTCTTTTCTTCTTCTTTGTCTCCAGACGTTGTATCATCAGGACTTGTCTCTGTCGATGGAGTTGCTGTATCTGCATCATTGCTTACAGGTAAAGCTGGAGTTGTGTCCGCCGCTTGGTCATCTATCAACTTTTCTGTCTGGACACTGTTACTTACTGGTATTTCACTGCTGGTGGGTTCAGTATTTACCATCAGTGAATCATTTTCTGTACCTTCTGCATTTAAAGGAACCAGTTCTGTATGATGTGAAGGTTTCAACGGACCCCTTTCGCACTCGTCAAGAGATAGACTCTCACGGCGTATTCTACATGGCTTGAAACAATACTGGAGGAAGGAAATGAAAAACGCGAGAAAACAAATACTTCCAGCAGTGTAAAATGCGGGTTTGTAAGAACCAGTTTGATCCGCTATAAATCCTGAAAAGAAAGAAAACGGTTATTAATAAAACTGAAAAAAACCCCAGATGACTAGACTTTTGTTTTGGTGATACAAGAATGAGAATGAATATTTTGTATTAAGGAGTCAAAGATGCAAAACTAACCAATCAGGGGGGGCCCTGTAAGGTTTCCAATGGATATAAACATTTGACCAAATGGAAAAGACACATATCTCAATCTTGGTTCAACTGTTCTTAGTAATACCAACACTATTGTAGTGACAAGAATTCCACACCCAAACCCTAAGAAGACGGAGTAAATGACGAAGTGATAATACTTGGTTGCCAACTGTAACAGTAACATACTGATAGCCATGGTGAATGCGCCAACTTGATTTACATGAATAGGATCGACAGTTGGTATGTCAATCACACGGCCTGCTATAACAGATGATAATAATGAAGATAGACCAATAGCTATAAAAAGGTTGGATGCTTCTGATGGTGGTATACCAACTTCTTTGCAGTAGGACACCTATAAAAGATGATGAGTTCAGTTAGAGGGAGGATCTATTTGGGAAGTTCTTCTTTGGGGTAGGGTTAAGATAAGGTTATTATTTGCTTTTGGCTTCAGTGTCATGACTGCAAAGAGTGCTAAGTAAACAAACTGTGAAAAGTTGGTAAAGTTGTTAGTATTTGTGTTTCCTATAGGCAAGTTATTTGGGATTCCTGTGCTGAGTAACTGAGTGAGAATCCCTTGAAACTAGTGAAAATAAAATACTTATGAGAATTTCCAGATAGGAAGTCTTAATACAGTGATGGGAAGCCTGTGAAGTAGGTCATTCCCAGCTGAAGCTGACACAAGTATTTGTAGGGTTCTTAGATATTTAATTTAAGTTAAAACTCACCAAGTGGACATGAGTAACAAATCCTGTGAGCGTCTGTAATGTTAGAGAAATTACACCAATTACATATATAGGTCTTCTGATGAGTTGCTTCAGCCCTTCCTTAAAACCAATCTCTCTTTCTTCTTCTTCTACAAGTTCACCATTAGTAACAATAGATTCTTTCTGTACATAAGGATCAAAACTTAGCAGCAACAACAAGACACCTGTTAACATACTAGCAATGATCCTGTACATACTCCGATATCCATACTGATCTATCAATGCTTGAATTAGAGGACCCAAAGTCAATATCCCAAGGTTTAAACCACCAGATACACAACCAAGTGCAAATCCTTGTCTTTTCTTGAAGTATCTAGTCATAGCCTGCACAATGGATGTAAATAACATGGAACAGCCAAGTCCATAAAGAATACTATAGCTGAAGAACATCTGAAGGAGGCTTTTTACATATGATGTCAGGAAAAGGCTCAATAAGCACATGGCTGCGCCTACTAGAGCACCAAGACGGATGTCAATACGAGATACTATTTTTGCAGACAAGGGAATGGTTGCAAAGGTTAATGATGATGGAATAGATCCTGCCCAGGCTGAAAATAGAAAAAAAGAAAGTTATCTAAATGATCTTTAAAAAACCTGAAATTACTTTATCAGGTAGCAATCTGATTCAAGGATAAACTAATGCATTACTCCAACAACTAAATTTGGCACAATATCCTCAATATATTCCAACATTTGTATAGTGAGTACATCAGTGTCATGTGCTGCTCATAGTTTTTGACATAGAAAAATCTGCATCACCGATGGAAAAAGCACCACAAACGCAATTCACACGTGGTTCCTGGGATGAGAAGTTAATCAAGTGTAAGTGTGGTTTACCCTAAAATGTTATTCCCTTACTTACCTGTTGCTTCCCTTGAACTATTGAACTGATCCATAACAACAGGCATGACAACAGCATAACAGTTAACCACACCAAAACCCATTGCCCAAGCAATGGTACCAGCAGCACAAGCCAGCCATGACCAACAACTGTCAGGTTTACGAGGAGTTTTGGAAGAAGTACAACAAACTAATGAAGGCCTTGGAGCCATAGCTTATGAAAACCTGTTAAAAAATAGTAACTTTTCAAACTGAATTTAACACAAAAACAGAATTGCTGGAAGTTAATTAAAAGTGGAGTATGTTTTCGTTTATAAATTTGATCAATTTGCACCACGTTTTAAACTAAACTGGTAAAATCCCACCTTAAAGTTAATTACATTAACTATATGAACCCGCCCATATTAAGATTCACATTTAGTAATAATAAAAAATAAATTAGTAAAAATATATATTGCCATTAAAGCCGAAAATCTAAATGACAATGATGTGGGCAAACGACCAAAGTAAACAAAATTTATTCAAATATTTTTAATGTATTCAAATAATTCGTGTTCATGTTGAGTAAAAAAAAATAGCTTCACGCTCGATTTATCATAATTTACATCATAACAACATGACAACTTTCAACTGTGAGTTGTCACTTTTGAGACAGACAACCTTTTTTGTGAGTTAAATAAGGTTACGTAAGCTTAAATCAAAAGCCTGCACATTGTAAATATTGTAGTTCACAATCGATCTTTTGCATATTATTAGTACAAGATTTATCAATCTTATTAGGATCGACAGAAACAATGTTTTTCAAAAATAAAAACCTTGCTACAACACTTTTCGCGCCATCGATCAATCGTATTTTTTTTTTAACTTAGACTAGTGAGCAGCACCAAGGAGAACTCTTTGAGTAGTTGTAAAAATTTTTAATTTCCAACGCGTTTCGTCTCTTAACGGAGACTTCTTCAGGGAATGATTATTACAACTATAGTACAGCAATATATAATAATGTAAACGTGATTTACAACTTCCTAAGGAAGTGACTAAAAGCTTACATATGCTGTTTAAAGGGACATGTATATAACATCGTCGTGACTAATGTTATTATTATGTCGTAAATAATTTGGGGACCATGCGATTAGCGCTAATTACCTTACTTTCATTTTGATCGCAAATTTCAGGGATTTGTTCACTAAATTTCTGGAACAGACTATTCGCTCACACTAAATGAGCCATGGTAATTAACAGCGAATATCAAGTACACGTTCTTTTAAATATATGATATTAATAGTTTGTTCTCGAACTAGGAAAACTCTATGTTAATCATGAGAGGTTTCTTTTATGTAAAAAATCGCTCAGTGCAGCGTAAACATTTACCACCTCAAAACCGGCGCAATCGGTTCACCTAGTATCTCAGTGTGAAATCTTCTAAACATAACTAAACATAACTGCGACAATTGCTATATATATTACAATAAATTAGGCTTTTGAATAACGACATTTTATAGACAGAAATATACCAACCTGAAAATGAAACCACCACACACCACGACAAGCACACCACGTTGTCTGTCACGGGGAAGATGTATCGCTGGCGCATGACCTGCATGAGTCATGATTCCCGTTTGTCAAACAAATAGACAAAGCTATAAACTGTTTAGACTGAAAACGTGGCTAGTTCAATTCATAAACATCCAAATTTCTTTTTAAAGTGATAAGAAAAAAAAACGACGGATATTTGGGTTCATAGAGTGCGTAGGGCCAAGGGGGATGCTTCATAAAACCTAATGAAATCAGAACAGGAATGAAAAATGTCCTCGGGGATGGGAGGGGGTTTATTGGGAAAAATACGTCACTGTGTTTGAATGCTTTCACTACATTTTGTAAATAGTAATAGGTCATTTAATTTTTTCTTAAAGTATAATTTAACATGAAATTGAAGCTGGAAATGTTATCAAGAAAATCTAAGAAAATTAGGAAAATAATGAAACTCAGAAATAATAGCCCCAGGGTAGGCCCGTGGTAAAATTCACGATCACAAAAGCAAAATAATCCCCCAACTGCTTGAACAAAAAAATGCATTACAATCAGTGAAAAAAAGACCCTCATTTTCCCTGGGTTAAAGGGCTACTTGGACGAAAATTTCGAATCTTAAGAAAAGACTTGGAAATCAAATAGACCTATTCATATGGGTTTAATAATCATGAAGCAGCAGATTTCAAGAAGATATTGATACAAATCCTTGATAATTTGGGCAAAAAATGTTGGAGTAGATGACGTCATTATTTACTCAATCCTTTTGTTCTTCCATCTTTTGAATCAAAATTTATCTGATGTAGAGAGGGAGACTGGATTGAGGATGACTGAGAAAACTATATTACCTTGTTACAACCTTGTTATAGTACCTGGAGGAGGGGGCATCATTAATGTGATGCCGTCCTTTCCATTTTCCTTTGTGAAATATCAAAAAGTTATTGGATGAAGCTTTTTTTGTGATGTCAGACCATGGAAAGTGCAATCTAGCTCAATCAAACTGAAGCCAAGAGGCTGTGTGCAACAACAGTCTTTTAATCATTATTCATCACACAGCATTTTCTTACCATATGTTATTATAATAATTATCTAACATTATTATATAATTTTTTATATAAGTTTTAAAGGTAAAAAACTGAAACTTTTTTTGTAATTCATGTCTGTGCAACTCACAGCATAATTGATTCAAATGGCTCAGCTAAGGTGCAAACTGCATGGTTCTGGTAAATCAACTTTAATCCCACATGGCACAAACACAAAGTTTCCAACCTCCCTAAAAAATATAACCCTAGAAAAAGATCCCTTATTCTCCCTGGATAAAGATATCTTTATTACAGTTAAATTAATTATTTTTAAATAAAGGTTATTATTTTATCATTGATTATTATGGATTAATTACATAGTATTTTTAATGTTATCCAGTTTGGGGAAGAGAAGTCACTATTTGCTTTGAATTAACAAAAAGACGCACACAGTTTGGTTCCTGACACTTGCTGATAAAACTTTTTTCAGGAATTATCTGTATCTAAACAAATTTAGAAACAACATTAGCATATAACTGATAAATGAATTAATTTACTGATCTGATCTTTTTTATTCCTTTATTTCTTTAGAGGTTTTTTAAATGCTTTAAAGATAATTATTAAAAAATATTTTTAGAAATACCTGGCTGTAGTGTTGCTTAACATGTTTTTACTTGCTCTTAGGCCTCGACAGTGTGTTAAATATTCTTTTGAATTTGTAGGAATGTGAGTGATGCAAACATTGATATGAATAGTCTCATTTGTCAAATTCAAAAGAATAATTAACTTGCTATTGAGGCCTAAGTGCAACTGAAAAGGTGTATTGCATGTTGATAATAATCACTGACAATGATAATGAATAATATTATGTCATTACTTTCAGACCAGGGTGTTCTTTATCAATTATTTTCACAGCCTCTTCTGCATCCTGCAATAATTTCATAATTTTAAGTTGAGTAATGTTGTTTTAGCATTAGTATTTTAAAATGTTATGTTATGTATACATTTGATATCAACATTATACCGTCACAGTCATGCCATGATGTATTGACCCCTTTGTTGTTTATTAATGCTATCTTATGTGGTCTGACATGAAGTACTTCTGTCAACTCAGTTTGCTGTTCCATTTAGGGAACAAATATTGGATGCTCTTTCCCGGGGACACTTAAGGGGGTGACTAGCCAACTCATTTTTTATAGTTCAACAATGTGAGAATAGTAAATATCCTATCATATGAAACAACTGTAAGGTATTGAAACATATTTTTGAGTTTTAAAATGATTACAATGTTATGGGTGAAATGATTTGAGAATAACTCAATTACTATTTACCATTAAGGTACTTATAATTATTACAAGCATCCAATTTCCACACTTCCAGCCTTTAAAGAGCTACTATTCTTATGAATGAGTTAAGCTATTATACATGGCTAGCTTGGCTTGTAGGACAAAACGAAAAAAAGCCCATGCAAGACATTGCGCTGGGTCCATATAGTAATTTCCGCTTTGCCTGTTCAAAATATAATAAAAACTAAATAAGCTTACATGTAAAATTTCCTAACTCATCAGTTATATGGTGTTTTATAACAATCAGTTACAGTGCCAGATCCAGGATATTTCAAAGGGGGGTTCCTCTTTGTTTTCACATTTTCCTAAAACGAACTTATACTGTGCCTCTCGAACTGTAGCAAATGTAGTGTGAATGTATTGAATAAAAATTCATTGTACGATGCGTTTTCATTTTATTTCATTTATCTTTTTTTTTCTTTTTTTTTATGCTTGAGGGGGGTTCCTTGGAACACATGGAGCCCCCCCTGGATCCGCCACTGAGTTACCTAGATAGCAATTGCAAAATTATCATACTTGAAAAGGGCCTTCGTTGCCATAGTGCATGTAAGTTTTAAAATGTCCATAGCCCTAGTTTTAGAAAATATATTCAAAAACAGAAAATTCATCAGCTTGTTCACTTTACCTTTCCTATAAGCTCTGGCCATTGTTTTTTAGACTCTTTTGTGTCGTCTTTTCGACGAAACTTGAAGTTAAACTTCCCTGCCATTTCGCCGCCAATCTGAACTGAATGTAACTATCATTACAGATTGCCAGCTGCAGTCAGAATTTCCAGCGGTTATGTAAGTAAATACATTTTTAGGGAGGGGAGGGTATGTAGTTATCTAATTTCTCGGTCTTTTTTAAAGATCAAAAATATTTCAAGATCTAATCAAAAGAAATTAAAAAGACACATCTTCCTATAAATGATGAAGGTAAGTTTAAATGGAATTTTACTTGAGAAAAGCCAAATCTAAGTATTTATAATTTCATACATTGTCCCTTCACCTGTTAGGATTTTTATCAAGACCACGTGATATTTTCCCGCGTTTAGAAAGCCTGCAAGCTGACCAGAGCAATCTGTCACATTGATGTTGTGCGTGGTTTTACTGTAGACATCTGGTTAAGTAAAACGCTCTCGGGATAAACCATGGATCCACGGATGCTGGCAGAACTGCTTGGAGGTGACCTTGAGATAATGACAACTTTTAATCCTTCATATCCATTAAAGTTCGAGAGGTTTGGCGATGCAGACCCCAAGAAAGACCCCGAATTTATGAAGCACGTGGAAAGTTGTTATTCTGCTGGGTGCCCGGTTTCGGGAGAAATGAGTGCCATGTCCAGTGTTTACTCCAACCAGCTTATTTACAAGGCCGAAGAAAAAGCTCGCTGGGCTTATTCTGCCAACGACCCCGTCAAAGAAGCAAAAGCGGCTCTGTCGATGTCGCCATACTGCCCAGAGGCTTACAATGTCATGGCTCAAATGGGCTCAAATACCTTCGAAGAAGCTCTTGGTAAGTATTTCAAAACAATATTGCTTAGCGAAGGTCTTTGAAATATCTCTTGTAAATGATTGTAGCTTATTTTGGTTCAATAAGAATCACAACAATTCTTCGTGAGCTGTCGGTTGACACGAGATAAAACAGGCGAGAATATCAATCTGGTAGAGCTGTCCAGATTATACATGACATACCACAAGATAGTGTCGTCATTGGCTTTCAAGAATATTTTTGTTAGAAGGCTTCCAGTGCTATAGTATATTGAATCTAGTAAATTCTTAGTTGAGCTTCAAAATACTGTAAAGGCAAATTAGGGATTCGCACTGTTTACATGTTTTTTGTTCATGTTTAAACAAAAATATCTACTATGTATTGGAGAGTATAATAGTATAATATTACAGTATATACATGGGAGAAGGGTTTTGGATGGCTGTTCACTTACAAGAGTGTTTGCTAGCCAAAGATTCAACTATTAATACATTCTTTTCTGTTTAGAGTTCTACAACAAGGCTGTAGAAATTGCTCCAAAAATCTGCCCAACCTTTGCTTCTGATGTTGCAGAGGGTCATTGTTGGAGTAAAAATCACTTAAGAAGTTATTTCAGAGCTGTACATGGGCAAGCTAACACACTGCGTAAAATGGGAAGAAACAAGGAGGCTTTGAAAAAGTACCTCAAGCTTGAGAAGATGGACAAAGATTTCCATAGGTGAATATGACTTACTTTACAAATACAATTTACATCTCTATTTTATGTTATATCCATAATTTTATATTTTTGGTATTTTATATACCTAATGTTCTCTTAGGAATCTGCTGTTTTTAAAGCAATTACTTACACTTTTTGGCTTTACATTGTCTCTTTTAACTGTGTGTGTATGTTTTTCTTTTTGCAGCTGGTCCTCCTATGCAAACTGGCGCTACCATGTTCTTGAAGTATATATGAAACTTGGTGATGACAAAGGAGCCCTTTCCTTTGCAACTAAGAAATCAAACCAAGAAGCATTCACATTAGCATCATCCGCTAGTGCATGGCATTGGAGTATGGCACTGCTTGATTATAGATACCGAAACCACAGGGGTTTTGCAAAAGAGTACTACAAATATATAGAAGAAATGCGTGGTCCTTCAATCCCTCCTGTAGGAGCTATTATTGGTGCCTCCCAGGCCTCACGTCATGTCTTAGACTTTTTGACAGGAGAGAGGAAGCTGCCAAATTGCAAAATTCCATATGCAATGAAAGCTGAAAGTTCTTTGAGTAATTCTGCTGTGTATTGCATGTCAAATCTGGAGCTTTGGAGAAGTACCCCAGGGGCTATTGAGTGGGCAGCAACAAACTGTTATACTCATTATTGCCTCTGTATGCTGCGAAATGAGGTTGAAATTCTGCAGCACCTTAAACTAGAGCCAACTTTAGATGAGTTTAAGAAACTTGTCAACAAAGGAGTTTTCCTTGAAGCACCTACACCAGGGTTTGGTTCAAGATTGATCTGTGAAGCTATTAAATCTGATGATGTTGATAAGTTAGAGGTTCTACTAGATGCTGGAGCCAAAGTTACACCTGATGTTCCTAGTAATATGCCTAAACCTCTTCATATTGCTTGCTATTATAACCATGATCCAGATGTTATAAAGATGCTATGTAAACATGGTAATAAATTAAACTTTGTTTTATTATTCCAGGTTACTGACATGATTATCAGTCATCCTTTCATTTCTGTGTAATATAACATGTATATTGTAGTATTTGTGGAAGACACTTACCTTTTATATAATTATATATATTACTTTTCTCAGTTCATTTTTAAATTTACTCAAATAAAGACATCTTGTTAAAGCAGCAAAAATGTGCATGAGGATCCTTAAGTACTACATGTACTTACATGTAAAGTTCATATGTGAACTTTTGATTTGACTTCAGGTGCCAATCCAACTGAAAAGTATGGTGTTCATTACAGTCCCATCCAAATGGCAGCAGAGCAAGGTGCTGTCAGGGCATTAAAGACTGCAATCAGTTGCTTACCAAAAGACCTGAAAGTCAGCCATGATGTGATTATGGAGGAGATCCTTCTTGTTCTATTCAAGACGTCTTGCTATGACTGCATCACTGGTAAAGGTCCAAAATGTCAGCGATGTCAGTACGACAATAACCCTCACCCTAAGAACGCATCATTTACTGGATGTGTTGATGTTGTCATGGATACAGGATACACGCCATCAAAGAGCATTCTTACTCACCTTCATCAGGTGTGGAGCTTCAGACCAAAGCTGTTTACTTATATTCTTAAGAAGGCCATCAAAACCTCACCCACCCTAAGTGCTTTAACTCACATCACTTCAGAAGAAGCGTGGAGGAGAATTTGTAGTGTTTGTGGAGAAGAAGATGTCAAAACTATGATGTGCTCTGGATGTCACTGCATCCGATATTGTTCACGACAATGTCAAAAGGCTGATTGGAAGAAACACAAGAGAATTTGTTTTTAGCTTTACAAATGAACAATACATTGCCACACAGAAATATGAATATTAATCTTTATTATTGTATTGTTAAGTTGGACATTGAAACCAGTAGAGACTTATGTTTTTTTGGTATTATTTACCATGAACCAAGACAGTTTTATTTGACTATTATTATAATTTGTTGATATAGATTAATGGTTTCAGCATAGTATTTTTTGGACAATAATGAAGCCATATATGTTCCTGTTTGAAATACAATTATTGTATTGTTATATCATAATTTTAGATCAAGAATTCAACACAAAGCTCCTAAGATGTTATATTTTTCTTTTATGTTTTACAATGAGCTTTCCTAAGAATAATATATGATTTTCAATGAAATGGAAATGCAAATTGATTAACTTTGATGATTAACTTTTTAAGACAGTTCCATTTTTATTTATAAAAAATTATGCTTACGCTGTCTTGTCAATTTTTTTAGTTCTAACATTAAGGGGTTGCATGACCATTAAGATTTTTAAGGGAGGGGTGGATGGTTTTAAAAGTAAATTTCCTGCACTGCCTGAAGGACATATAAACTTCCTTTCATGCAAATCCTACTCTAGAAGCTTTGTAATTTCTCAAATTAATTTTGAGTTCTTGATTAAGGTCTAAAGATATTCTTGCACAGACCCCCCTCAAAAGTCAAATGGTCAGCTCTTGAACGTGTAAGAGTAGTAACATTGATAGTTGGTATCACCCCCCAAAGGTAATTTTTCTTTAATTCTTTACCAACAAATGACCAAATAACCACTTTTTTGACACGGTGAAACCTAAAATAAACTATTATTTCACAATTTGTATTCTGTATCCACAAGATAAGGTAACTTTTTATTACAAGTTGGGGTCTCGTACATACGTGTCCGGCCGGCAAATTTTTGAAGTTTTTTTAAACTGAATATCAGACGCAAAAATATTGTCAACATAATTCTATTGGATAGGCGTGTTATTTTGACTTGAAGACTGACAAAACATGAGAACTCGTCAGGGCTCCAATTTCCGGAAGTTCTAAACAGAAATAAAAGAAATGCAACTTTTGACAGGGCGTGCTTTTCATCTGAAGAAAAAAAAACATCCATTTTTTTATCAGAAATCGCTCTAGGGTCGACTAGGGGAAAGCGCGGGAAGTAAGTGACCCCTCCCCCCTCAGTATTACCCAGTATATTATCGGTTGTCACGTGCTACACGTTGAATGATTCTGAGTACGAGGACTAGGGAAAGAGGAAGAGCCCAACGTCTTTCAATGACGCTTCTCTTGTGATTTGTCTTTCATAACATTCCTAAATAGAGTGTGTCCCTGGATCAGAGTCAGCTGACAATGCCTAATGACAATCTAGCCATGGGGTACCGGCCTCGATGCGAGAGTGAAGAACAACTGGTCAACGATATGGAAGAAGACGACTACGAAGAAGAGATGCAAGAAGAAATAGAGCAAGCAGAACAAGAGGAATTAGAGTTTCAAGCCCAAGAACCGTCGCACAAACATGTTTACTTTGTGACGGACCCTCGAATGAGTTCATGGAGTGCTAAAGATGACGATCCTTCAGCTAGCACTAAACTCGGGTATGATTGTTGTTCATTTTGCTTCATGAATATGCAATTTTATATTTAATCTTATGACTTCCTAAAGTACTGTTGATGTTTTTTGATTATGCCATGATTTATTTATTTTATCCACTGTTTATGGCCGTAATCTGCCTAAAGCAGCAAATACAATGAACAATTATAAATTGTATAAGATTTGTATTATATCATATGTAATTGCTGGCCTGGAAGCCGTGATTGTTTTACCAACACCGCTGGGATTAGTACGTATAACCTGTGTTTTAAGACAAAGGAATGTTGTGGAGCTTGAATTTCCGTAGTTTTGTACACTTTGAATAGTTTATATTTGATCATGAAATTCACAGAGTCAGTTCTTTGAATAGTTACATACATTTATACATAAGAAAGCATCTAGAATGCAAAACAAAATGCTAAGAAAGTGCAAGATATCAGGAGAGTTTCATTTGTACTTGTGTTTTTTGTTTCAGGAAAATGAGGTTTAAAATTGGCAGAGTAGTGGATCATTTTATCACTAGGTAAAGAGTGGACTTTAATTTTCCAAACATTAATTGCAGTTTAAAATTTATTTATTTATTTATTTATTTATTTGTTTATTTATTTATTTATGGATGAATGTATTTTACATGTCACTAGTCTGCGTGCAGGCGTTCCTCGTTGGGGGCGGAGCGAAGAAACGGAAGGGCTCCGCCCCCAACGAGGAACGCCTGCACGCAGGCTAACATGTCACTCCCAAGGCTGATTTTTACTGCATGTAGCTGATCTTCAATACGATGGAGACATTGAAGAAAGCAAAGCATTTTATTTCACACGTCTGTTTCCTTCACCAACTTCTATCTCCCAGAGGAGCCACAGGAAGCCCAAAATAATGCAAAGTGTTGCAACATTGGCTGGAATCATTGGCTGTATTGATAATTTTATTGTTTGAACAGCAACCTTTCCAATCCTCAAGTGGAATACAACATGCTATATGAAAATGGCTAAAAAACGTTAACATCCAAACAACAAAAATCAATTCAGTCTTATCATACTGCTCATGCTATTATCAATCAAGGTATCAATTTTCTTTTCAGAGTTATAAGTCTTCTCCTGGTTGTTGCTGATATCATCATTGTGATAGTCAACCTTGCAACAAGTGATACTCATTCAACAAACTTGGTAAATAAAATTAAAATGATATGCTTAATTTTAGTTTTATTTGTTAATTTGTTTTTAAAATGGGTTATTTTTTACAGGAAGACAAACCTCTTGAAGTATTTACTCTCATAATTGCTACAATATTCATGGTTGAACTGTGTCTTCGCATTTTTGCTCTTGGGTAATATAAGACAATCATAGTTGCCTAGTTCTATTTTACCTCGACTTATTGTAAATTATTATTTTCAGGTCTCATTTCTTCAAAAGATGGATAGAAATTCTTGATATGATTATAGTCATTGTGTCATTTATTTTAACTGTAGTATTTGCTGTTATCACTTTTAGAGAGCACAGTGTCATCAAGTAAGTTTTAGTAGCTCAAAAGTAAATGACCAAAATATCACATTTTCAAACTTCAAAAATTCAGTTAACACACAGGTTTGTGGACAAAATGTGTTTTTTAGATTTTAAAGTATTGTTATTTTTTTGCAGACTTGTTGTTGCTGCACGATTCATAAGAATTTTATTTTTTATAAGAATTGTAACTGGCAAAGACCAGTTAGAGAGAGCAACAAGGAGAATGGTAAGGATTGTTTTTAATATGCATTCTTGCAGTCTAAGTGAGTGTTATGTTGTGTAAACCACCTTGAATCCAGCAACACAGTGACAATCATTATGTGTTTGATACTATATGTACGGAACCCACCCCCCGTTAGTAACATTTGTACGTGTTTGTATGTTATTGAGCATGCGCAAGGAAGCACATGCATTCTACATTCTACATTCTACATTCTACATTCTATATTCTGTATTCTGGAGCGGGAGAGATGTGTTGTAATTCTACAGTTGAGTTATTAAACATGTTAAAGACACAACGATCGTCTGCGATTTGACCTTAAATCGACATTCTTGATAAAAACATCGTACACTATATTGATAAGTAAGGATGGTTGGATTACCTCCGTCATATCCAGTAGTAAGCCAATCTGTACATATCAAATAATATTTAATTTCACTTAAACAGACACTGCATTTGGTGAGTGATTTATGTCATAAATAGAATGAAAGGATTATTCATGTTTTCACAGATTTCACAAAACAAGAGAAGATACCAAAAAGATGGATTTGATCTTGATTTAACTTATGTTACAGGTAAGGTTTGTTCACTGGTAGTGTTCACTGCATCTGTGTTTACTAATTCTTTTTATATTGTATGTCAATAGAAAGAGTCATAGCCATGTCTTTTCCCTCTTCTGGCAAACGAAAGATGTACAGAAACCCAATTGCTGTGAGTGAAACCAAAGTTGTTTCCTTTCAATTCATTTTCATTATCTCTTGTTATAAAGCAACTAAAAAACAAGCTCTCTTTAAATTAACTTACAAAATTAATAAATTGTCAGCTTTTGAGAAACAGTTGCTCTGACATTTTTTGGAAAGCTCAGGCATGTGACCCTTACCTATTTTGCTAGGATGCTAGATTTTACCAGCAATTGATAAGATGAATGAGGCTTTTTTGTTAGCATGGCCAAGTGTATATATGTTTCTGATTATGTTTTGACCCTATGGTGAAAACTAAATATATTAATAACTGCAGACCAAATCAATGAATTGATTCCAATGTGATGTAATGCAATAAATGCGATGTCACACAACATATACATCAAACCAATAAGAGATTGGCATTACTGTGTGTTGCAATGAAACCACAAAGCCACACCATTCTGCATTATAAGGTGTTTCCATGGTGATGGCAAGGTTGTATTGCTATAGCAACCATTATGAAGGTGTTTAGGCACCTGACAGTGAGAGCATTGTCTTGGGTGTTATGAAACTTCATACATGTGTAAAAAGCATTTCCTCCTAAAATAAGAATGTTTTATATTCAGAAAATGTTGCTATTGGAAAAAATGATCATGAATGTTTTTAAACATTAAAATGTATTCCAGGAAGTTGTTCGTTTCCTGGACACCAAACACAAAGACCACTACAAAGTCTACAATATGTGTAGTAAGTGTATTTGTTGAATAATGTTGAATGACATGACACAGGGCAAGATGTTTTATTTGAAACGTCATATCATGTCTGTTCTTGTGAAGTTGATACACTATCTGCAATTAAATTCTGTACTAGGTGAAAGGAGCTACGATCCAACATTGTTTCACAATAGAGTTGAAAGAATTTTAATAGATGATCACAACGTCCCAAGATTAAGGTAGCTAGATATTTATCAACAACAAAACTGAGGAGATTCCACTATTTTAACCTAGCCATATAAAATTTAGCAACTTTTTGATTTATAAAAAAATGTAATAAACTATCAAAAGTAATATATTTGCAATTAATTTCCACTGTTAATTTTCAGTCAGTTGCTGTATTTCTGTCACAATGTAAGAGAATGGATGGAACTGGATTCTTCAAATGTCATAGCTGTTCACTGTAAGGGAGGGAAAGGTAATGATCCAGAAACAGATTGATTCTGACCAAGAAGAAGCCGGCAGCACTAAGAGATTTAACCTGCTTTTCCATCAAATTGAAAGCCCTTCCCCCTGTTATTTTTTTGCCTTACCAAAGAATTCCTGTGGTTAGAGTAGAGTTACCTGCCAAAGTGGCAGTCCATGTTATGTGGCATATCACTTTTTAAAAGCATTTTTGTAACTAGCTAAACAAAACTTTTTCAGGAAGAACTGGAACAGCTGTTTGTTCCTGGCTTATTGCTAATGGTCAGTTTGAACAAGCAAGGGTAAGTATTGATATGTGTATAATGTGTTGAATTAAACGAAAATTACAGTGGAACTACAGAGTAAACAAATCAAACAGAATGGTATACTTTCATGATTATTTTTTGTTTTCAGCAAAGTCTAGAGTTCTTTGGTTTTCGTCGTACAGACTATAATGTTGGTAAGACATACCAAGGAGTTCAAACACCAAGTCAGGTATAAAGTGCTGTTATTACGAGTCCACCATTAATTCTAGTATTATAACTACCAGCTTTCAAATTAATATTATGATTAAAAATGTTGGCTGGACAGGCTCAACAATAAGTCACTCAGCCATAATGCTCAGACAAAGAGTACTTTTTTTGCTTGTATGCTGTATGATTGTATTATAATTATTTCTTTGTGGAACAAGTGATAGAACTAGTTTTGTTTACAGACAGTTATTGTATTTTGTTTTCAGAGTCGCTATGTTGGTTATGTAGAAAAAATATTTACCAAACTGAATCGCAGAATGCCAGCACCAGTCCCTCTCAAACTGAGAACTATCAAAATTGATGGGATAGGAGGTACCTTACAATAATTTAACAACTGCCCCCTATTTGACTGATTAATTTCCAAGAATCGTTGTTGATGCGTTACCAGGGTGTTTTGCCAGGATTGTATAACACACTATTACAAAACACTGTGGAGATAGAAGCTGCAACTGTTACCATAACGACTGAACACAAAGCAGTAAATCTGACTCAGTAATCTATTTATTGCTTTGTTCAACAGGGGTGGGAAATGGTAATGGTAAGGATCTTAGATTTGAAGTTGTCATAAATGGAAGCATTGTGTATCATTTGGCATGTACTGGTGGACGTCCTGGCCAAGTAAGAAAATAGACATAACAAACTAAAAAAACTTAAAAGATTTTGAAATATTAATTATTATAAATATATTTTGTAATTATAAATTCTACTGTAATTACAGATAAAGCACTTTTCAGATTTGGACAAACTAGTCATTGCATTAGGGGATATGGATTGCCCTACATTAACTGGTGATATTAAAATCAAGTTTTACTGTTCAAGTCAGGTAAGAATTTCAAATTGTTGTCAATTTGATATGTACAAATAATTTTCACCAAAAGCAACATTTAATGACCTGACGTTGATTTTTGTGATGATTAGAATGTCCCAGTTGCATATGACAAGTGTGCATTCTTCTTTTGGTTCCATACAAGCTTCATTGAAAACAACAGGTACAAATAATGTGTTTGAACAATATTGATATTTTTATACTGATCATTGTGTTATTCAAAATGACCTAAAATGTGACCACAAATACAAGAAAAATTGTAAAAAAAAAATGAAATGATTGAAGATATATCAAATACCAAAAATATAGGTTACAGATTATATCATATAATGTAAAAATTAAAAGAGAAAGCAATTGTGGAAAAATCTAATTTTGTCCTCCATTGTAACCAGTCTATGTAATGAGTGATCATTATCGGTAGTTCAGTTCTTGTGCACAGATTAACGATTTGCTTGATTTCTAGACTGTATATGCGCCGTGATGAACTTGATAACCCACACAAACCAAAATCATGGAAAGTCTACAAAGAAAACTTTGCTGTCGATCTAACTTTTCACCAGCCATAGCCAGATGTCTATTTTCAAAACCTTTATAGGACAACTCTATAGATATGTATATAATCTTTATTTGATATTCAGAAATTTTCCTATAACTGCATACTTAGGAACTTCTCATTTTTGTTCATACAAACTTTTGGCTAAAGTTCTGATAAATGCAAAAGACTGATTTACATAATTACAACTTGTCATGGCTAACATGTCTCATAGGATTTCAGCCATCAAAGACTTCCAACAAGTTGTTGGTCGCACACATCTAATCATAAGCTATTCACAGTATGTTTATCTGTCTTGAACATCAAAAAGGTTTGTCAAAAGATTGTGTAAATCAGCCTTAGGTGTCTTTTAATCTACTGGCTGGTTAAAACTTTTGCAACAAAATCCAAATGACGTATTTGCAATCTGTCATATCTTGGTATGACCTTTTCTTGAGTTGCAACAAATATATTAGTCTTCATCGCAGCATACCCTTTTGTCGGGCTTGGACAGGGTGCCAGACAAAAGGATAGGCTATGAAGCTGGAAGGAGGCTACCAATGTATGGGAATCAATTTGGTATACAAGATACTGCCCCAATCTGAATGGTTTTCTTTTGCACTGAGGGGAAAAAGCAGTTGATTCCAGGTCACTGGTTGTAACCTAGGAAGAGGGCGAGACAAGGATTGCATTATCAAAAAGACATAATAACATTTCATTCTGACAATATTGCTCTATTTTGTATGCTAGGTATTTTGTATTACTTCTGTTAATGTTGCTGCTCATGCTAGAAAGTGATTATTTTTCAAAAAGAGTCACTGGCTTTTAAACACTTCAAATAGAAAAAAAGCTTTTGTAATTCAGAGTGATGATGAAAAAATATAAATCTATTTTGGGATAAACTTTGTACTTTCTTGGTAACCAATAGAAATGCTTACGAGGTAAAAAATTCATTGAATTAGTATGTCATAAATTTGTTAAAATATTTTGAATCAGATTTTTAATAACTTTATCATTTACCAATAAAAAAAGAAGGTATAAATTATTGTCTTTACTGCATTCCATGAACTTGACCATGCTAGGATCTACTAGTACATGTGAATAAAAAATACTATATTCAAGGTAATTTGAAAACAAAAAAATATTTGAAAAGTATTCTTAATTCACATCTACTCCTTTTTAGGATCCATTTGCCAAAATAGTTGTTTGAATTTATGTTTTATCCTAACTATTTCACAAGGTCAGTTGTGTTCAATTACTATTTGTACATTGTTTCTGTTTATTCCCAAGCACCAAATCAATTGTAAATATGAATTTATCAGTGTTTCTCAAGTAATGATATTTGCATGTTTTCCTTAACTTCCTCTGTAAGTGGAATAACCAAATGGACTTAGCAACAAGGGAACATGGTAGTGCTGGCTTGAGTCCTTGATGATAAAAATAATCTATAAATTGGAGAAATAACTATGATGATTACTACAGTCAATACTTGAAGTCTATTATAACGTGATTATTTACCTCTACATAAGGGTAAAAGTACTCTTTGATATCCAATGATTTGAAGTAGGTTTCAGTATCAAACATTATCTTATAATGTCCAGGTTTAAACTTCTCCTGAGTTAAAAGATTAGGAACCCTGCCATCACCATTTGTAGCTCTAAGAACAGAACAGATTGAATTAAGAATAGGAATAGGTGGGCATACGATGACGTAGTTTGTTTACATCCAAAATATAAACTTCAAAAAATAAGCAATTTGAACTCATATAATTCAAGATTATATTATTAATTAATGTCAACAAAACCTGAAAATTTTAGGGGAAACACCTTTTTACATTTTCGAGATATCGTCATTTCAAAACTACAAAATCTATTGAAAACAATCAGTGGTTGGCAAAACCACGGTCAATTTCTTTAGAAAATCTTGCAAATGTGGTGCTTGATATCTCTTGAAATATTTAACCAATTGCCTTCAAATTTGCAGGAATTGTTAACAGGTATGAGTTCTTTTTATTTATGGGCTTGATTTTCTTGTGTCTTGAAATTTGATGCAAATTAGCTAAAACGTAAACATTGGCGCCCATCTATAAATTAATATATAATGCAATACCATTATGTAACAATGAAGAAAACTAGAAATCCTTACTCCAATAAATTGTACATCCCCATCATTAAACTATGATATTGTGCTTACCCAATAGCAACAAGTGTCCAGGTATTACTTGCTGGTATGTTTTCATAAAAAACTTTCACTGGTAATTGCCGGGCTGGACTGCCTGCAGAGGTGTCTAGAACATGAGTTGTCAATGGACTGCTCATTACCTTTTGCTGTTGAGTCTAAAATAATTTTCTTGTTTAATAACCAATTAATTATTCAATTATTGAAGTTTGCATGTCTGAGAGCAAAATACAAAGTAGTTCATCAATGAAACATGAAAATATCGTGATAAGATTGAAGTTCAGTTTCTTTAGGGAATTTGAGCAAACTCTACTGCAATTTTCAAATTTACTAATAATTTTGGACTAAATGGTATAAACATCATAGTACATGAAGATCTTGCAATGTTGTACATTGCAACATTGCATTCAACAATAACATCATTGTATATCTTTATGATTATCTAACATGTGTTAACCTACTTTTATGATGAGGTCATTCAGCATCATATGCTGAGATAATATGGTTATAATGAGTTCTTTTAACATTATATTATTGAGAGCACAATACCCTGGGTACCAAGTCTAACTTCTTTCCTGACTAGCAAACTGTAGACTAATCTTGGGAGAGATAAAAGGTCAAGAAGAGTTCTGATATTTGATATGGATACAGTCATTTCATGTGACAGGAAGTTGATCTCCATGTAATCTGACTCACTCAATAACATTGGCATTCTTTATGTACAAATATTCCTTAGTGTGACATATAAAAACCCTCCTACCCTATATATAAACTAGACGCCCCTGGGGCGTGAAGTCGGACTAGCTATTTTTGAAAATTGATAGACACGAGTGAAAAGATTATGATGTTATATTCTGTTTAATCATATGATGATTATATTATGAATGCAAATGAAACTTGAGAAAAACAGGAGGATATTACATAAAATATAAAAATTAGATTAAAATATATATTTCTTAATTTTTCTCCAAAATAGCCGAACTCACGGCCTAATAAGAGCGTCTAGTTCAGAATATCCAAACTCTCTTGAGACTAAAATAAACTTGACCTAAAAGGTCATGTAATTAATGTTGTAGCAATGAACATTTTAAAAGAGTCCTTGATTTCACTGATAAAATCAAACGTGCTATGCGTGCTATGCTTAGATGTGACGCTAAGTGATAACGTTGACCTCTCAGGCCAAGAAAATACTGTACAAAGTAAATGATACCTATAAAATCATTAAACTCGCCTTTTTTTATTGATAAAAAATGTTTCTTCTTGTTCTAATTTGAAATCTTTGCCCACACAACACTGCCTAACGATAAAAAAAGGCCATTGATTTAGTTTCGAAAGCATACTACTCGAAGCACCAAGCGATCTGCACATGCGCGTACTTATGATACCTAGACAGATGCATTCCGATGAGATCACAGATACCACATTTGTAAACGAATAATTTTTTTGTCATATAAAAGCCAAGTAGCATATAACATTTACTAACGATATTCGTACATCAATACGCTTGAGCTTCCGGTCATGTAATAACACAGCCAACCCAACAGTTAATTATTAAATTCTTAACTTCCAGTGGTCCAAACGCAACATAATACATAGATAGATAGATAGATAGTTAGATAGATAGATAGATAGATTGATAGATAGGCAAAAAGGTAAAACTAAAGTCGACCTAGCCTTCGGCTAGTCCGACTAACAAGGTAGTGGTCGAGTATTATATGGAAATTTGTTTTTTCCTTTTGACTTCATAGTTTTCTGAGATAAATATTGAAATCCTGTGTATGGAAAAGATAGAAAGTACACCCCTATTCAAGACAACTGAAAGTCAAAGATTTCATACCCTATATCTAAGACAAAGACCACAAACCATGACAATGTAAGCTTTACCTTTATTTGGGGACAAGGCCTTGTATCTAAGCTACATGCCCTTTGCTGGTACAAATACTCATTATTACTAGCAACAGTACCCATTTTAGGGGTTGTCTTGCTGAGTCATATTTTAATAGGGATGATGTCTTGATGCTAAGCTTATATAATTATTTAATAATATTTATTTAAGCTTAATAACTAATTTTATGATATATGTGCAGTCACGCATCATTCTACACTACCTTTTAACACATTTGCCAGTAATTAAGAGAATCTACATCTTGTCAATTTATTGCTGACTGCTTACCTCTTTGGAATCTAAATGTGCTGCGATATTTTTTAACCTGATCATATCCCATCAAAAGTGCAAATTGTTTACTAGTGCTATTGTACAGCGGTATTTCTTAGACGCAGCCAGAGGACTAAGTACTAGTTTGAAATCCAAGATGGCGGCCAGAAACAGTGTTAAATTGTTGGGAGAAAAACTGACAAAATCAGAGAAAAGAGCCCTCCGTAAACAAAGATGTAAAATGCATTCTTTCGAGAGACATAATACAGAACTCGAGGTGTCCAAAGAACCGACCCCGCACATATTGGTTGGAAATGGTGGCTTGATGAATGGGATCGATCGTAATTTGATTGTGAAGTTGTTCAAAATGTTTGGAATGGTTGAACAAGTAATCATGGTACCTCAGCAATCTTATTCTTTTGTAACTTTCACTAACATCAACGATGCGAAGAAGGCGATGGATAGTATCAATGGAAGAAAGCTTGATTCGACTTTGGAGCTCGGTAAAACGGGTGTAATTTTCTATTTGTATTACCTGATTCAAGTTCCTGACGAAGTCATAAAAACAACTCACAGTAGACCCCCAGGACTGGTATTAGTTGAAAATTTTATTACTGAGGAAGAGGAAAAAAAGTTATTGGACAAGTTTAGTTTGGATGATGAAGAGGATGCAAGTCAAACTGAAAATGATTCAGAGATAGGTATGATATGTTTGATCGTGTTCAAATGGGAAGTGTTATTAGATTGTGCATTGTGCAGCATCATCAGTACTGTATTTAGAGTAACCACTATATCTACTGTCACTGATGTACTCTATTTTCAGTTCAAAAACAACTGAAGCACAGAAAGGTCAAACATTTTGGTTATGAGTTTCTGTATGGAACAAATAACATTGACACATCCAAACCACTGCCAGGTGGGATTCCTGAGGTTTGTCATGGTATCTTACAACATATGTTAACAGAAGGATATATCCAGGAAATACCAGACCAATTAACTGTTAATCAATATAATCCTGGACAAGGTAAGACAGTCACAACTAAAATGTCACCATATGCTGTTTGGTAGAAACAATCCCTATTTGATAGACATTAAAGCCAGTAATGTTCATTTATAAGGAAGGGTGGCCGGGCGATGAGAGCGCTGACATGTCACCTCTGTGGACCCTGTTTGAATCTCGGTCAGGCCGACATATGTGATTTAAGTTTCTTTCATTCTCTCCCTTGCTTCCAGGGTTTTTCTGTCTTTTCTGTTTTTTTTCCTCCCTGAGTAAAAATGAGCCATTTCTATCTGCTGTGCTCTATGTTCAGTCGACTTTGCTATGTAAAGGAAGCACCTAGCTGGCAGCTATGTAAGTGTATGTAATATGTGTCTATGATATAGCACTTCTACTTGAGAGCGTGTCGAGCTGCGTCTTTTGCAATTAAGCACCCATGCTGCCATGAATGACGATTAGCACCCAACACCTTACCCTATTTTAATACCATGTCTAGTATTCTTTCATAGTTTGGTTTATTTCTTGATTTTTTTACAGGCATACCTCCTCACATAGATACTCATTCTGCTTTTGAGGATGGCATTGTTTCACTTAGTCTTGGTGCCAAGGTATATCACCTCTGTATAAATTGGAGGGAAATGATTGAATATATGGATGGGACAAAGGATTATTGAAAGAATTAGAAAATGAATGAATGGCTAAATCAACAGATGATATAGATGGGTGGTTGAATGAAAGAATAAAAAAAAGAAATGGTTAATATATTAAGATGGGTATATATCAATGTCTACACTTGAAGTCCACTCACACTTGGCTGAGCAGTGATATCCTCAAGCTACTTGGTTAATGGTGAGTTAATTATAGGCACTACCCAGACTAAATAATTGTGTGTTTGTATTCAAGATAACTATGGAGTTTCGTCATCCAGATCAGAGGCATGTTTCTGTTCTTCTGCCTCAAAGAAGTTTGTTGGTAATGACTGGTGAAAGTAGATATGAGTGGACTCATGGGTAAGCGTCTTTTGTCCACTTTGTGTGGTTGTCTATTTTGTTTGGACATTGCTTCATTGAAATTTTTGTGCATTTGTTCATCCATTTTTTGTCTCTCTGTCCATTCAATAATTATCTTGCCCTTCTGTTGATTTGTTTCTTTTTTATGTTAATTCATTTTTTTTATTTTTCTCTTTCGTACATATTTTATTTCCTGTTCGTTCTTTCATTCGTTTGTTCCATCATTCCCTTCCTTGGCGTTGCCTTGATTTTGTTATTGTGTGGCTCATTCCTTCAAATTTGTCTTGATATGTTACCTTTTTGCTATCAGGATAACACCACGTAGATATGACATTATCAACGAAAATCAAAGAAAACATGGTAAACAAAGGCGACCTTCAGACGGCGAAGATAATGACCTTGTATCAGCTGGTGTTACTCAGTACGAGCGAGAAACGAGAATATCTTTAACGTTTCGTAAAATAAAACAAACCCCTTGCAAGTGTAATTTTCCTAAACAGTGCGACTCCCAAAACTACAACTCTTCGCCAGACTCGAATTCTTACACACTCCCTGCAACACAACACGATGCTCAGAGACTGGAAGCAACTCACGTTCACGAGGTTTATGAGAAAATTGCCGAGCATTTCAGTGACACTCGCCACTCACCATGGCCGAAGATTGCCAGCTTTTTACGTGATCTGCCAATGGGCAGTTTAGTGGCTGATGTTGGCTGCGGAAATGGAAAATACCTTGGAATCAATGATAATATATTCAAGATGGGATCAGATAGAAGCTTTAATCTTACATCAATTGCAAAAGAAAGAGGGCATTCGATTATTGTCTGTGACATATTACAACTCCCTTACAGGTATGCTATTATTAGTATGTTTTATACTGTATATAGTCATTCAACTTTCGGCCAGGGGCGTATCTGGAGTTCGTCATGTTGGAGTTCCTCTCAAAATTCTCACTATTATGTCACATGACATGAAATTACGTATTAAATAAGAATCTGTTTTGAACACTTGCTATTGTTTTGAACACTTGCGCGGTCAGATTTCTATTTTGCAATGTTTTAAAATCCATTCGGCTTTCAAATTGGTGATCTCTAGATACGCCCCCTGTGGGCGGTAGTCGTGAGTGGTAATGTACGACATGCAGTAGGTTTGTAACAAGGAGCAGCTTATTTCAATTTTTCGTTGCTTGAATCAGGTCTAAAGTGTTTGATGTATGCATGTGCATTGCTGTTCTTCATCACTTATCTACGACCGAGCGTCGACTGGAGGGTCTGAGAGAACTGGTGAGAATTGTACGACCAGGGGGGCTGGTTTTAGTGTACGTTTGGGCACTGGAACAAAATCTTGAAAAAATCAAGAAAAACGAGTTAAAAGAATTGGAATTTAGTGAAGCTAAACAGCAAGGAGCTAGCAATAACAATGCTGCTGTCCCGTCATCTTCACATTTATTCGACTCAAGGATTGAAAGTAAAACTTGCGACGAATCTTCCTCTAAAACCCGCAACGTTCAAGTCAACTTGAAGAGAGAAGTTTTTGAGCAGCAAGATTTGTTTGTTCCTTGGAAATACAGAGGCGACAAACAAGACAAACGGTGCAAAAATCCTGAAGAAAGTAACAATACTAGCGACCCTGCTTTAACCGGTAGTAATGTGTATCATCGGTTTTACCACGTGTTCAAAGAGGGCGAACTGTTAGAATTATGCAGTCGTCTTGACGATGTTGTTGTAAGAGAGCTGTATTATGACAGGGGAAACTGGTGCGTGTTATTGGAGACTAAAGATGAGAAATAGGAAATCACACATGAGTATGTTTTAGAAGTATAACTGATTTGTGACGTTTTAGGCGTTCCAGCAATTGTTAACATCCATTACACACGTCAAAAAATAAACTTCTGAAATTTACACCTTTCGTTTTTATCAGACGTTCGCATAAGTTATTATATTAGATTTGATAAATCGTCGAAGTATGCGACGAAATAATTAAAAAAACTGAGCAGTTATAAGTTACGAACATTTTTTTCTTGTCACTAACCATCCATTGTCATTACCTCGGCAAAGAGATGGAATTAGCGTCATTAACCTGATTTGAAAATGCATGGTAATTTGTTCGTAGTGTCTCAACCCATGAATTACAATAGGACCTACAAAATCACACAAAGGCCTATCAAATACGCTTTCTCGATCATCGAATAAGTAACAATACAAAAAAGGCATAAATCTCAAGTCATCTTTAGGCTTAACTCCTGCTTTCCTCATAAGTGAACCAAAGCAGGCGTCCTCGATTGCAAACAGAGGCGTTGTCTTGGAAGCCCTGTCCAGCTTTTTAAGTAAACTGCCACTGAAAAGGTAGCCTTCCCCTGCTATATACGGGGGGTACAGTGTTCTTGATGGATAAATGTCGTAAGGGAGGTAGTGCTTACTTTTTGGATCACGCTCAATTGGTGAATTTGATGCTTCTCGACCAGTGTATAATGGCATTGATTCCTTGGAATTATATTCAATCAAAAACGATAAGCAGATATCTGTATTTACGTAACAATCATCGTCTGTTTTTAGTATGTACTTAGCATTACATTGATGGAGTGGCCATCTTATAGTCAGCAGCATTTTTTTGTAGAGATTTGCATAGGAGTCAACAAAACCACCAACCACTATGTCACGTGATTCACGTGACTCGATATCCACCAATCGTCGTGTCGATTTACCTTTAGTTTGACCGAGTAAGAAAACTGTTTTGTAGGACCTGAAAGGCAAAACAAGACTGAGTTAAAAAATTTTTCTTGAATTAAGTGTCGATGTTTCTCGAAAACCATTGGACGAGTGAATACAGACAACTTGGAAATATCTTGCACTTAAAATTCAAACTTTTTCATTAGCTCTCCACATAATTTAATTGAGCCAGTATTTCCACCATTTTCCAGTAACAAATGGCTCTTCATGTAATGCTTAATAAATTATTATTATTACTATAATACTCCTCCTCTACCCCCTGGGGAAAGTCATGTTACTGACGTGGATACGTACATATCAAGATTTTGCCTTTGTTCTTGTATAGTTTATTCATGTCGAGCTGACTAAACAAAATTAAACTTTATTTGCAATTTTTTAATTAAATTCAACAATACAGTGGATTCAGCAGTGCATAGTCGTAAATTTAAATTTTAATGTTCGGGGCAGTTTCTTACGCACAGGGACTCTAGATCTAAGATTACACCTATATCCAGAAATTCTCAAAACCTCTCCATACGCTAATATATATTGATTTCAAAACGCGTTCTTCAAAATATCCGCTTTGAAAAACCATCATTTTCAAGAGGAGCCGATGGTTTCCTGGGGAAAATATATCTGTTCTTATGTCCCAGCCAGCTGTAAGCCACAACTGGTTGCCAGCAAAATTATAATACATTTTTTATTCCAGGAGAGGAATAGGTTCAAAGAATTTTTCCCAGGAAACTCTTTACGTCCATTGCAGGAAGTAAAATCATAAATATCTTATACTCGAGTGCTTTAGCGACCCGAAGGAAGAGTTTTTCCCAGACTGGAACGTCACCAACATTTGCTTGCCAAAATTCTAGTTCAAAATACCTTTCCCAGGAAAAAAATGTATAAGAACAGTTATTTCATGTTATTTAGAAGAGTAGACCTCGTCCGCTCCTCCTGCATTTTATTTAATAGGATTCCACGTTGTCCAATTAAGAAATGATTAGAAACGAAAAATTCCTCGTCCAACTTTGGCAGTCATGGGAATTTTCCTCGTCCAATGATGTTTCATAATTGATTATATAATAGAATATATTGATACATTATCAAAAGCAGTACTTCACCTTGAACTTAGACAAAGGCCCTTTTAGTCCGCGCTCGCTTAGTCTCCTCTCGCAGACCTTGGAACGAGCGTCGTAACGACTGCGAGAGTAGAAAAATGCTCGCTTAATTTTTTAAAATTTTTCCTCAATTCTTGAAATTTCCTTTTTTTGTGAGTCCAAAGAGAGGCAGACTAGTGGCAAGTCTAGCTTGACTCCAAAGTTCATTCTTTATCAGATGTTTATCTTCAAGCGTTAGTTATGCATGCTTTCAGTGCAGTGTTTTTGATGTATAATAAATGCGTTAGTTATGCATGCTTTCAGTGCAGCGTTTTTGATGTATTTAAGTGGTTTTTCGTTAAACCGTTCAACAGGCTTACTTTTTTTTGGCACGTTTTTTCTATATTACAGTTTGACTATTTTGTTTCACAGGTCCATGAAAAGTAATAACAATGCAATCATTATCTAGTAATATAACATACCTTTTGTGCAGGCTTCCTAGAATGTTAACTCTATTATCTTGTTTCCCCCAAGAATTTCGAATAGCTTCTCGTCTTAAGAAATTATTTGGTTTGGAGTGAACCAAAATTAGAAGGAAGGGTGGTTGATTGCACTCAACTTTCTCAATACTTGCTTTTTGTTTTGCGGTGCCGAATGAATCCCTTGTGTTAAAGCTTTTGTGCATCAGAGTAAAACGACTAGAGTAATTTTTGAGCAAAGCAATTGTTGACGTCCAGTCTTCGTTTACTTTCTTCAAGTACTGAACATTATCTAAAGGTGATGCGTGATTCGAACATTTCCTAAGGTAAAATACTAAAAAAGCCAACAGAAATATTACAAGAAGTTTTTTAGCCAGTTTCCTGTAATACACGATCATGACGCGGTTAGGACACGAAGAACAGGTTGAATCACCTGGAATGGAAAATCCAATTCAATTTAGGACCCTGTGTTTTTGATTCTTAAAATATTTACACATCAAGACTTGTCGACTTTGCAATGTGCGCATCTGTACTGAGTCATCACTAACTGATCGGAATGAATCGTCGTGATTGAGACAATAGATGCATGGGTCGTCTAAACAAAACCTAAGCTAACAATAGAAGTTCGGTAAACCGAGGAATCAAAAAGCTGGTTTCGCCGGACTGGATATGATATGGAAAAGTTTACACAAACAGCCACGTTTTGAGCTCAGTATAAATTTTTAGGTATATTTCCCTCTATACAGCTGGTGGATGTCATAGCTTTCAAAGGGTTGTACCTAACATTATATTCAAACTGAATTAATTAAAAAATGTATATAGACTATATTGTGCAATAAATGATGTCCCGCTTCAGTTGCAGATTCAGTACAAAATTATTCTGTTTTGATTTTGCACAATTTTTTTGAGGTTTAAATGTGGACACTCTTGCGCGAGTTCATTAACGTTTTCAAACTTTCATAAGCGTTTTCGTGCAATCAGTGAACAAACTCGTAATAATTGTCAGAGACCACAAATACATTGTTGCAATCACATAGTTCCAAGAGAGTCAACGGTATGTGCATTTTTTGGTTTTTGAATAGCACAATAATGTTTATGTATTGTGAGATGCTTTTGTTGCTAAATTTCTAAATGAAAGTTCCACTATTGCTCTCTGTTTGCTCTAAAAGTCGCAATGCTTCTTTCCTTAAGTGAATATTCCTCTGCGGTTAAACAGCAAAAGGGTTGTGCGACATTTCACAGGTTAAGTTTGTTCATACTCCAGATATTTTTCTACTAAGTCCTTTTTTGTCTTTTTTTAACAAAACCACAGGAATCCCATCGTCATGTGATCATCCCGCTAGGAACGCCTGTTATACTATACCAGTAAAAAATCAACTGCACTGAAATCGAAATATTTAATACGCTCATTGATTGCGAGATATTTGCTGTAAACTGTCTTCTCCATCAAAAGAAATCATGGGAGTCTTTACTGATGAAAAGATTATGGACAAAGACGGGAATTTAGTGGACGCTGAGCCAGAATTAACTGGCAAGGTGATTTTGGTGTATTTCTCAGCTCATTGGTGTCCGCCATGTCGTGGCTTCACTCCAATGCTGAAAGATTGCTACGAGGATTTGGAAGGCAAACCCTTAGCCATCGTGTTTGTGTCATCTGACAGGTCTAAAGAAGAGATGGATAGCTATTATAAGGAAAGCCATGGAGAATGGTATCGCGCACAGCATGGAAGTGAATTGGCCAACAAGTTGAAAGAAAATTGCAATGTTCGAGGTATTCCAACGCTTGCAGTAGTTGACGGCGACGGTAATATGCTTGACCAGTCGGCAAGAAGTGATGTGGAAACTGGTCCACCCTCAAAAGCGTTTGAAAAATGGCAAAAATTATCCCAAAAATAAACGGACAAACACTTGTCGTTCACAATCTGTCAAGAAGAACTAATCTTAGTTGGTTGCTAATCAGTTAAACACACTCGTACAATAATTTACAGTATTGTAATGTCTTCGATGCATGTCTTAGCTTTATTAAATTTCGTAAATGTTTCCTGTTTGTTTCATATTCATATTATTTTCTCCGTCGTTTAATAAGGAATCAGAGAATCGCCTGTAGAGCATGCACATTTAACAAAGAACTAAAACTGGTTTGCACAGTCGTATAATGGTCTAAAAGTAAAGGGAACAGAGCAGTTGTTTCCTATTTTCCATTGCTTTACACCCACAAAGTACACGTAAAGATCTAGAAACGTTTGTAACAATTGGCAATGATTCCTATTTCATGATTTCTTCACTGTCATGTACTGAATAAACAATTACAGGAGAGACATGTCCGGGCTCTATGCCAGCTTTCTATCAAGATACTATTAGTTTTAGGCCTATAATCGCCTCGGGGGTGAAAGCGGAATTTTCAAGAAACGATGAGTCATGATTCCCTTCAAGTTTTAATCCAGTGATTCCTGATTCATTAACATCCGAATTAAAACACACTGCCACGATTCCTGATTCCCTGTGGTTTTTGTCTGCGCAAAGATTCCGGCATTATGATTTTATAGTTAAAAGATTTGACTCGTCCTGAGCAGACATTCATGTAATTGGCTCCGTTCAATTTGTAAAAACATAAAGATTTTATAAAAGATTTGAAGAAAATATTGAATGAGGATTGCAAAGACAGTCATTTGAAGAAATCGTTATGACAACCCATGTTGTAAACAATACATCAGATACTCACGCTTATTATGTCAATTGTATATGATATTTAAACCTTTCATTTGTCGTCACACTTTATGAATATCTCAAAATAAGCATAATTTCAAAGTTTGATTAATTTACAATCTTATTTTGCGGTATTAAAAAGAGCGAAAATGACATATAAAATTACTCATGATGAAATAATGCCATTATATATGATATATGTTATAATTTTCTTAACTGTATAAACTGCTAACAGTAGTAAACAGTAAACTTGCAAGTCGCCATGCAATAACAGCTAAATCAACAAGCCGCGAGTGCTATAATATTCTGTATTAACGAAAGACCTTCAGATCCACCAAACAGCTGTAATGGTTTAACATTGTAATGCAAATATGCCTCCAAAACCATGAAAAAACAAATCCACACTCAGCGCGAACATTTATTTTCAAACAATTATAACCGATGAAGAACTGGGAACTTAGTGCAACGACACGAGGCATTAAACAGGAAAATGAAAATTCACTCGATTCGCCACTAGCTGGCATTGAGTTGGTGTAACATATTTTGCCGGCATCAGCATTGAATCATGAATATTGATACGACATAAAGTATCATGAGAAATGATGTGCTTAGTGTTGTGCCCGTGAAATTGTGGCCGTCTCTAAACAGGCTCCAAGAAAAATCGCAGCCTTCTCCCCGGTTAATTTACCCTTCTACAGCGTAACAAGTTTAACATTAATTGAAAGAACAAATGCAAGCGGGTTTGTTGAGAGAACACGAGAAAAGTTTTTGAAACTGAAAACCTTTTTGAGTGTTCTCCCAACAATCCTGAAGTGTTTCTAAATATATTCAAATGCTTTTAACATCTTTCCCTTGCTCTTATAGATACACGGTTTTTTGGCCATTTCAGCCAATCAATGCGTTATATAGATCTATAGTAGGCGTTTTGTAATGCTGTTTGAACAAAGCGTCTTGTGAAAATCTGTTATCACTCAAATCGAGTTCTTTGATAACCATGAATATAGTCAACTTCAGATATTTTGGTTTGATGACAAAAGAACGCACACGAGGCTCCGGGAAAACAATGGATAATCTTGATTTATTCTTTTATTTCCCCGGAGCCTCGTCTTTTTATGCGGGGTATTCTATAGTTACTCCTGCAATTCTTTTGGTCATTGTCACTGAACCAAAATATCTATAGTCGGCTATTGTGTATTTGGTTTTTCGTAGTTCTTAGGATAATGATTTGCATATTCAGATTGACAACCACTCCATAATACACAATTATCACCCCTTTGTCCTCAGTCTGCTCCACACAGTATGAACACAGTACTCCCACGGTGTCATACTGCAGTTGTAGCCATGAATTATGTAAGAGTGAAATACATTTGTTGGATTTATGGGTTTATTATTCTATTAGGTCTTTTGGTTCTATTGCAACTCACTTTTAAGCGATTTGGAAGTTCACAATCACTGGAAACTACAGATCATGCACAAAAGATGAAGAATGTTGATAGTGACTTAACAAGTCCATTATTAACTCTTCAAAACACGATTAACCTTATGGTTAAAGAATATCAACTACGAAGTGCTCGGTCTAAAACTACGAAAGTTCAAAAAGGGTTTAAACGCGATTATAAGTTACCGTATTGTGGAGACGTAAAGCCTTTTTTACTAATTGAAGTCCACTCTTCACCTGAAAGTTTCACAGCTAGAGAAGCAATTAGGGTAACATGGGGCCAGGAAACCAATGATATAAATAGAATGGATTTAGAAAAAAGGTAAGACTGATAACCTTATCTACCGCGGAGAAAATAGCCAAAAAACGCCCGCACTACAAAATGATTAATTCTACAAAATGACTAATTTAACCAATTTTGGATTTTTTATTGGAAAACTATTAACTAATAGAAATAGCATAAACAAACTTGTAAAATCCAAAAAGACTCGCCTTAGTCGCAATTTTTATATGCAAATTTATGCCTATTGTATATGTACAGCTGACGAAAAAAACAATATTGTCAATATTGTTCATCTACATGGGCATTAATTAACACAAAAAGTTTCCACATAAAAATTACCTGCGTGATGGTGCTTTAGTGATGAATATGTGTAACCACCACGCCCCAGCATGACATTGTTGGGGAAAGACCAACATTTCTTGTTCTTTTTCCTTATACACCCAATAAATCAGCATGACATTGTTGGGGAAAGATCGACCAACATTTCTTGTTCTTCTTCCTTATACACCCCCCAATAAATCAGTTACAATTTCTGCTGTCAGGAAATCAGCTAATTTATTTATCAATTATTTTTTGAAGGTTGACTTGGAAAACTGTCTTCCTAGTTGGAAAATCACAAAATGAAACGGTCAATGATCTTATGGTAGTTGAGTCACAGAGATATCAAGATATTGTTATAGGAGATTTCCTTGATACGTACCGTAATCTAACCTACAAGACATTGCTAACCCTGGAATGGCCGGTTAAGTACTGTCGGTACGCCAAGTATATCATGAAAACCGATGAAGACTGTTACATCAACGTAATGCCAGTCATTAATTTGTTGGCTCAGTATCAACGTAAGACTAACCCACTATACCTGGGCAGCATTCACTGGAAAAACAAACCATCTCGTAGAAAATCCAGCAAATTTTACGTCAGTTCAAAAGAATACCGAGGAATCGTGTACCCCCCTTACGCTGCTGGGGGTGGTTACGTATTCACAGCCTCTTTAGCTCCAAAATTACTACATGCTAGTGAAAGTAAACCGGCTTTTCCAATGGAAGATGCGTACTTTGGATTATTGATGCAACATATCGGCGTCAAACCAACCCATCAGCCTCTTTTTTTGCCTTACACATTCGGGCGTTGTGAACTTAAAAAAAACGACAAGGTGACATACGAAATGTGGTACGACGACAGCCTGTGCAACATTGCCGTTGCTATGGTGATACATGACGTCCGACCGCACGAGAAAATTACTATGCATATCAACGTCATGACTGTACATTCCGTGCCGTCTGTTTGTAACCATGAAAAAGAAAGAAGCTCATGGAAAACTGATAATTGCTATTTTCATCATCAATGATTTTACCAGGTTGGTCATCTCAACCATGAAACATTGGCGACATATCACGTAATCTCCTCAACTATACCTATGAAACAAACTCCAAAACCGTGAAACTGTACAAAATCTAAATAGTACTAATTTGTACTGTGGACCTGATCATTTGTACCAATTCAATTTGATTTACGTACCGCATGCACGATTTATTAAATACAACTATTTATACAACTTTTCAGTAAAATCAGACGTTTTGATTGGTTGGCTTTCGTGTGTTAAAGTATAGATACACGGACTACGTCAAAACTAATTGTTTGTTGTATAAAACAGATAGATCTCATTTTTCTCGACGGCGTCTCGTGCGTACTTTTTTGTTCTCACTACATTTTGACGTCATCTGTGTATCTATTAGAGTACACACGCACGGAAAAATGAGATCTATTTGTTAAATAGCACTATTTAGTTTTTACAGTTGCACGGTTTAAGTGCGATCACTCTAGTGGCTCAGAATCGGGAAGTTTACAAAGGCAGAAGTTACAACAACGGATTACCAAGAGTCGTTCAAAAAAATAGTAGTTAGTTATGTCGCTAAGCCTGTTTGAAATGCAATATTCGCACTACAAAACTATAAATGTATCATCACAGAAAACATTTAATGATAAATATTCTTACAAAGGTGATCATGTTTTCTTTTTCCTTCGTTTTTTGTTTTTACTTGCAGATCTTGTCATCATGGAGTCCGTTGGCGGAGCTGGTTTCTTTAGAGCAGCCATTAAGTCCACACCTTCGTCTGGGATTTTCTCGGAACTAAGAAGAAATAAAAGCTTGTATCAATAAAACATTTCAAACACCTTTTGAACAAATAGAAATTGTAGAATATGAAAACAACACTAGAAAAAAAAGTCGTTAAATTAGGGGGAAAGGGGGAAGTGTCGAGTGTCGTAAACCAAGTTCTTAGAAGGCAAAACGCCTTTGAACCCCATCAAATATGTAAGACCAAACAGAAAATTATACTTTCGTGTTTTATTTGCGAAATGTGCCATTTCTGTAAAGGGAATCGGTGGGATGAAGCCAAAAATGTTCGAGAACTACAATTCTTGCTTCGTTGTACAGAATGATATTGCTGTACTGAGCTGGTTTCATTATGTCAAATGAGCTCTTGCAACTTTTGACCAATTTATAAACCGACCTTGAAAAGGGTATAGATTATTAGCCTACCTTGTCTTCACGCCTGATATACTGTCTGATGTCAAAACAACTACATCCTCTTCTTCACTGTCATCATCAATAGTGATGGCTGATGATGCTATGAAAAAACGATACACGTATCATTGATAGCAGGAAAAGTATTTCCCTGGGAGTCAGCCGACTGTTCAATGGGATAGACACCTTCCATGAAAATGGCTGATTTGACTTAAACTGGCGTTGGTTGACTAGGCCAAAAGTTCCCATACAAACAAAATGACTTAACTGTCTCCACTTCTTTAGCTAATACAATTAGTGTCAATTGTTTTACTAATCCCCAAAAGAGTTAGAAATCTCTTGGAATATCACTTGAAAATGCACACTGCATGATTTTCCACCAAACATACTTCTTGGTTCTTTATTTTTTGGTTCCGATTTTACAGCATTTTCTACGTCTTCATCAGATTCAATTTCAATGACGTGACTTTCTTCTTCCATATCTTGCCATGTATTGTTTCCTCCATGTCCAATTTGCGCAGTACCAGGTCCCTGTACGACAAAATATCCGACAATCTTATTTTTTGAATCAAGATTATTTTTTGATGATTATTAGCTGATAAGAAAAAAAATCTGTGCTGAGTGCAACTTAAACCAGCAACTTACTTTAATGTCTGCATGCCAGATACTGAGCAAGATATTCATTTAAGGAAACTACACTTACAATAGCTACTCTAGTCTTACTGAAGGGTCCGTTTACACATGCGATTTTTACAGAGAGATTCTCGCGGCGATCATTGCGTGACCATCGCCTGAGTTTCGAACATGCTTGAAAATTGGCCGCAACTTCGCAACGATTTTCCATCGCCGCAACAATCGCAGGGCTGTTTACACACACGACTTTAGTTGCGCGATAGCAAAGTGGCGATTATCACGCTGCAAAAGTCGTAAGTGTAAACGCGCCTTTTAATGATTATGATCAATATAACGATCAATGATTATAATAGGATACTAATTAAGATAAGGATACTTATTATCTTGCGATGGAGGAGTGTTGTTATTTGTAATCTCTGCAAAAAACAAGTTAATTTATGATAAATTATAATGACCATAGTTTTTATGATCTAAATCATAATATATATTTAACACTAGAATTCACGGGTTCTAGAATTCACGGCCAAAATCTTCACCTAAGACTATCCACATGGGACTTTGCTCAATCTTATAATTTAATGTTTTTGAATATATTAATGTATTTCCTCTTGAGAATGACGCCAGATAGCATCGAAAACGTCGAGCCCAAATGATCAAAAATACAAACTTACTAGCGTTAGTTTTTACTTTACAAATTCACGGATTATAGATTACAATTTGCTCACTCCTTGTCTTCTCTGAAACATCCTCTTTGGACTACTCTGTGGACAGACCCACTTGTCTCTCCTGCCTTTTGACAGGTGAGAAAAGTAGATCTGTTTTCAGAGTACCTTCGTTCAGCATTCCTTTCCGAGGAATACTAAAGGAGAATTAAACCATCTTGTAATCTTTTTTTGATGGCTTTCAATTGTATTTGATAAAAAAAGCAATTGTTCTAAATGGATAATGTCATGTATGCTTATAAAAATAATAATGATAATGTCATGTATGCCTATAATAAGTTGAAAAGGATATTCTGTACCAAATGGATATTTATAGAACTAATATAGTTTTTGATAATGGCATCATAAACAAGTTTTTTTACCTTGACCAGTCTTGACTGCCTCAGTGATATCCATTGCTGTTGTTTCAGCTACTGTTGTAGTAATTTTTTTCGTAGATTCAAAGACACCAATCTTTCCAGTTAACCTGAAAATAAGTCATACTTATTGCAAACCAAGCGTCATTTTCATGGGTGCCAGAATATTATATATTATTGTGGGAGGGGGGAGGGATGAGATGATTTTTGACTATGCTTTGCTGTTCCAAAAGTATGTTATTCTTGGTTTGCAGTCACTTCACCAAAAATAACTTGAGAAATAACGGATACAAAATAGAAAATTTTGCTTGAATGCCATACCTTTGTTTTTCATCCTCTGACAAAGAACTCTTAATGAGCTCTATAATTTCTGTCACCTTGACTACAGCAATCTTCGAGCAGCGAACTATCTGGAATTTGTAAAATTGATAATATGAAGCATTGTGTATCTAATATAGACATGGTATTTTTCCCTGTTGTGTCTCAAAGTAGAATTCTACAGCAGCCTTTCACCCCATACTCAATGCAGCTTGTTTTATAAAAAGCATTATTTACTATCCATGCTTGACAGTACAATAAATATAATACACAGTTTGAATCATGGGATTCTTGATAAGGCTGCATGCACTGCAAATTCGCAATATCCCATGAAAATATGGGTCAAAACCTCCTTTTCTAATCATCAATATAATGGCCTGTTGTCAAGAGGTTTCCACACTGTACCTGGTCAATCTCTAGTGATACACCACCGCCCATGACAGCCCCACATATTTCTCTGTGTATGTTCATTGCCATCATCATATGACCATCCATGACTGCTTCTTCCTTGTCAGTTGGATCAACAAGCAGAAGTTCACTGAATAATATAATACTTTAATCAAATATGGAACAATTTCTCCATATCTTAAATTTATTCACACAGGGATGAATAATTAGTGAAAACATTTCTATATTCAACTCTCCAGTGAATTGCTCCATCAAAGAATAATCATGGCAAAAAACTATATCACCATCTCAGCTTCAAAAACATACCCATCATCAAAAAATGCAAAAGTAACACAGACAGGCATGTGGAGAATACTCAAAGAAACAGGCTCTCTGTCTTGATGTGAATGCTGAAAAAAGAAAATCATTTCAGAGGGTGCTGGAGATGATGATACGTCTTAACAAGGTGCTTTCTAATTGGTAGTGATGATGTAGCTACTTCATCAATGATGGCCATGGCCAAAGGGAGGCTTACTTCCGTAAGATAACATTGTGAGAAAACTCAACTACAGTAAGAGCAGCTTAATTAGTTTCATGTCTCCTTACCACTGTGACTTCCTCACCCATGACTGACACATCTGGTCGTCTGGTAGAAGAAAATGAATAGGATATAGTCCAATGAATAGAAAAATGTAGAATGTAAGCAGGAGAGAAGAAATGAATGGATGAATGAAATGAATGACTGAATGGATGGAATAGGATGAGAGAAATATTTCAAAGAAAAAAGGAAGCAGAAGAGATTCTTTACCTGAAATGTTTTAATGCAGTAATAGCAGCAATGCTTGCACAATCTAGAATATTCCCACCATGATCCAAAACCTGAACATCAACCCTTACAGACCACACCTACAAAACATGATGCATACATCATTCAATCATTATACAATAACAAATTCACAAATTCCAGTCACCTTCTCCCCAGCTACAATACATAGTGATTCCATATCTACAGCTCTTGATTCTATAAAAAATCTTTCCATAAATCTGTTCAGTTCCACACCATACTCTGTCATCCTAGAGTAGTTCAACAGATAATAAATTCAATGAGAATAAGGAGTGCTATTTTAAAGAATAAAGGACTGCATGTGACTTAAGGTGATTAAACAACATTGACAAAACATAAGTATATTACCTGCCTGCCTCAAAAGCTGGTGATGCCATAGTAGAAAGTTCAATGTTAATGAAGATTTGACCCTCTGTTTGTCTGTTTTCTTTTGGTTTTGTTATCTCACAGGATACTTGTGCTAAAACCCTAGAAATCATCAAGTAATTTGATTACAACTCAAGTACATTACTTAATGACATTGGGAGTTAATTTGGTTTTAAGGGGGAGTTTTGACAGTTGATAGCTCAGTAAAGCTCTGAGAGCATTTACATACCATTTTAACATAATATTTTCTGAGTTTTTCTGTTGTTTATCAAGATACAAACCTTGTTTTACCAAGCTGTACTTCACAATGCCCTCTTTCCACACCAAACGACACTTTGATGTTCCTATAATCATACGTCTCACGGCCATCAAGACGCTGTGATTCAATAAATCATAGTGTTCAGCTGATTTTCAAAACCAATGTTTAGGAACTGTTAATCGTTTTTTTTTGCCAAGCCTATGGTCTCAAGTGTAGTAAATCTCACTTTCATGCTGTATTCAAGCAAACTAATCACAGATCAGAGTAATATGATCTGTTATCTGTGATGATCTCTTATTGGTTCGTTTATTTGACATGTTTGACAGCTAAAACACTCCAATGTGTGATTGGTTTGCTTGAATACAGCATGGAAGTGAGATTTACTACGCTTGAGACCAGAGGCTTAGCGAAAAAACAAACTGATTAACGGAAACGTCTCGCTGCTTCGCGGCTCGATCACAATAATAAGCCAAAGAACAAAAGACAAGCCTCTGGAACCAGGGTACTTCATTAATTATCATCAAAAGGATTTGCTGTTTAGTGTGAAAAATGAAATGTACTATCCCCTCAAATCTAAACATTAAAAAAATGTACTCCCCTTCCAAACTATTGCTTCCTTGTCAAAAATTGTTCCCGTTTAGTAGGCTGTTAAATTTTTGTCAACATGCCCCATGATTCACAGACTCCAAAAGCTGCCTAAATGTGAACATAATGGATCACTTTTTATAATATTTTCAAATAGATGATATTAGAGAACTTATAAGAATTGTATCCCAATTATTTTACCGAAGAACTGTTAAAATATACCCCCTGAAATGTTGGGCTTCCTGTGTTGATCTAGACTATCAGTCTAAACTTTGTGTCGCTTTGTTTTTAAGTCCGTTCATTTTGTTAATCTCAGTTTCTTTAATTTTCTAAAACTTCAAGTACCAAAAAGACAGACAATAAACTTACTTTTTAAGTCTTTTATAGTTGATGAGAGAACGTAAGCTTATTCATGTTCCTCCACATCGAAAATATCATGAGAATAGGGTTTTCAAATGCATGATTCATTGATATTGTGTACAGACAACCATAAATCGCTATTCAACTCAAATAACTATACCTTTCTTGACCTTATGCATTGAAGAATAAAGTCTTTTTCGCAGTTTGCCAAAGTCACGTTGCTCGCCTTCATTTTGTTTATAGGTGGCATGGGCAAGAGAGTAGACCCAGGCTCCTTGCGCCACTTCTAAATTACTGTATGGGGAACAATGAAAAACTTTATTTTCCATGGCTTTAGATTTTTTAATCGATCATCAAGTGTGACTTCTGCCAAAAGGGTGTTTTATTTTGGACTGTTTCCACGAAGTTTACACTCGGATGTTGTACCACGTGCCATTTATCCGTATCAGATCAGTTCTCACCGGCTTCTCACTACCGTTCGTGGGTCCAATGACAGTTCTTTTTCAGATGAAATTAACAGCAACCTTATGAACGCTATAAAGTGCAATGATATAAAGAAAACACTTGAGCTGTTTGATGAGGCAAAAAGAGAAGCTGTAATCCCCAAAGCACAAGCATTCACCAAAGCCTTGTATTTAATGCTTCTCAATAATCAACATGATGAGTTGGACAATCTTTATCAAGACATGTGTAACTATGGATATCTTACAGAAGAAGGCGCAAAGATGACAGTCATTCGTTCATATGTGTCACGCAGAATGTTCAAAATTGCATTAAGGATGCTTGACAACATGGAAACAAATATACACTTAAAACACACTCGTTCTTATAATCCTGTTATCAAAGGTCTTGCAGAAAATGGACTTACACATGAAGCTTTTCAGCTATTTCATAGAAAGTTAAAGATGTCACACTGTGTTTCCAAGGGAAGTGAAAACGTTACAAATGATGTAGAAATGTTTATTGCAATGATTAAGTCGTGTCACACTGTCGACAGCTTACAAATACCCATATATGGTAACATAAACAATCAAGGTTTTACCAAGTCAAGCACAAGGTCAGTGATAACTGATGATGAGAAGCAGACAATTAAGAGCAAACACTTATTGGTGTACCAATTGTTTCAATTCATATATGAATTTGGAATTAAATTCACACCAAAACTCATCAAGGCCTGCAAAGAATGGTCGTTACATGATGAAAGTCATACATGGACATGGAGATACTGCAGTGTTAATAGTGCCGGAAAGTGTACATCCTGTGGCACCACAATCCGTGAAAATCTGCCAGGGAACTACTTTAAAAACTTAGAAAATGAACTAATAAGCTTGTTTTCTGGTGAAACTAACAGCTTTCATCTTAGTCCTAACAAGATGCAGGATTTAAGTTATGTTAATATGTTGTGCAAGGAAAATGGTCCTTTTGATGTAATTATTGATGCACAAAACATTGGTCTTGATGGAAAAAGAAAAGGAGAGTCTTCTTCATATTCAACAGAAATATATGAGAAGAGGATGGTTAAAGTGGTGGAACATTTCTCAAAACTAGACAAAAAGATTTTTCTCCCATTACACATTAAAGCAGTAGAGAACGACATCTCTGGAAATTTGCTAACATTCCTGAGAAATCACTGTGAAGTACAGGCTCTCAAGAGTAATATTAATGAAGACCTAGTGCTTTTGTATGCAGCATCACTCAGTGGATTAGACAAGACTTGTATTGTTACCAATGATAACCTGAGAGACCACAGTGCTTTGATTTCACAAGACAACCATTGGAAACTTCTTAAATGGACAAGACTAAATCACATCACATTTAAACTCTCACACAAGAACAAGTTAAAATTTCATAAGAATCTATTTGACCCAGTGATTCAAAAAACTGAGTCTTCTTTGCACTTTCCTATGCACAATGGCACCTGGCAGTGTGCCCATTTACAAAGCAAATAACTATACTAATTTGTATTGTATGAGGTTATTAATTCAGTTCTTTGTTAATCTAGGTAAGGAATTCAGTAAACAATGACAAATTTTTCAGGTTAAATATAATGAGTTAAATGCTATTGAGTGGCTTGTTTTTTTCATGATTGTCACACAGTATAGTAACCACACTTTTCTTCATTTTTTGACATCATACAGTGACTATCTTGATGCTAATTAGCACACTGGCCTCTGGAAGTGCTCATGCCTGCATATAACATCTGGGTACAAGATAGGCTGGCTGCCACTGACACGCAAAATACACTCTATGTTTGACTTAATTAATACTAAGATTTCTGCATCTAAAAATGGGAACTATTGTTTATATTTTTGCGTAAATGTGTGTTGTCATTAAATCACAAATGTTTTTTTTTTTCAGAAATATTACAAAAAAGTTGTAAAGAATCACAGGAAAATGCCAGTATCATCACAATGTCCTGAATCGCACAATATACAAAAAATGGCCATCCAGATCGAATATACTAGGGAAACTGCACTGGAATAGGAATGACATAGAACACCCCTTCTATATGCCTCTTAATATATTTAAATTAATTTCTATTCTCTGAGCTTGCCTTCCGAAAATAAAATTCCGTAATTTGGGAGAATAATATATAGAAACTTTCGTGGAGAATTGACGATGTAGAAAGCCATTTTGAAAGAGTAAGTAGAAAATCATGGTTATACCAAAATCTGTCCTTTGGCTACTTCGATAAACTTCCGCCATTTCATCTCCAGTCGCCCTAACACCAAAAATCACTTCCTTGAAGAGTTCATCTTGCATCCGACAAAGCAGTTCCTTGTATTTCACTTATATTATTTAGTTTCGCGTCAATTTTCATTTTAGGGTTTATTTTTTTTCATGGACTCTTTCAATTTCTCTATCCAGTCTTGAATTGTTGACTGTACGTTTGGGATATCAACATAGTTCTGTTGAATGTATATTCCTGAAATTGTTCCAACAAGTAATCCAGCTATTAGTCTCTTGTTTAGATGAGAAAAGATTACACCAGCGGCAAATCCTTTCAGTATTGGTAAATCTAAAGGGTTTTTCTTCTCTCGAGAACCGTCGTCCGCCATGTTGGAATTGCTTTAGTTCCCAGTCTTCTCTCGAGACATGTTGACGTCATCGAATCGTCAAAAATGCCAATTTTGACGATGAGATTTGACGGACTGTGGTATATAACATGTAAGACTAGAGGACAATCACAACAACGATCATAAATTTGTTTTTTACCCCCCAAAATTATTCTTCAATTATATAGATAACAATCCCAGAAAAAAGGACAATCTTGCAACCACGGTCTTTACTATTATTTACCACAGCTCTTCTTGACCAATCAGAGACTGAGAAAATTTACTATTGTGATGAAAATATTCCCATTCCTCCAGTCTGTTCTCTATAGAGCTGCTCTCATCATTCAGTTACTACCAGAACACTTTTTTGGAGAAACAATGCCACATCACCTTGAGTTGGATAAAAGTGAAAGTTCAGCATTCTACTTACATGGGCTTGATGTGGAAGTAACCTACATGTAAGTACATGCCCATTCGTGGTAGGCTAATAAAAAAAATGTTCAGTGTCATTTTCGGAACTGGCATGCAGCCCATGAATCTATTTATTACTAAAAGAATGTTATTTCAAATTTCAACTATAACTTGTATTGAACACAGGTTGCAGCATATATATGAAGCACAATAATGAAATTACTAAAAATCTGATATGATAAAGATGAGAAAACAGTCTGTATAAGTGTTTGACCAAACCTACTTCCAAACCCACAACGGCCCATAATTCCATGGAACTAGCTACGAATATTTAAGTCCAAATGACAGTAACTAAAGGTTCTTTTTGTACATTAAACTACACTTACTATATAATAATTATCAATTATTAATTATACACTAGAAGTACAGTAAATGTGACACTTACAACAGACAGTAAAAACTCACACATAAGAACTGCAATATGAAAGTGTTCCTAAATAAGAGTTAGGTCAACATTATGTGTGGTAGACCTTTTTTGAAGAAAAACGTTATAGAAGACCAAGTGAAGTAATTATTGCTTTGACTTGGACATTGATAAGACAAACTGACAGCCTCAACTCCAAGAATGGGAGTTCTTATATTTTGGGTTTTTACCATTTCCGAATGCTAATGTAGTTGTCTTGGTTCTTTTTGGCTTTGCTACCATTGAATTATAACCAAATATACTTTTTCAAATTATTAAGCAAAATACCGGTAATATAATTAAACTAAAAGGTGTTTCATTGATATATGGCTTGTCTCAAGGGATAAATATTTTCCTGGTCTCAGTATAACATCCATTGGTGTTTGTCAGTTCCCTGTCAGGATTTGCTCCAACAAAGAAGATGATATAAATATGATCTAAGTCGAGGATAATGGGTGTAAATAAAACAAACTTTACTTGGTAAAAAAAACATTTTGTACTACATTGAACACCTTTACAAAGACAAAATATTTGACTAAGAAGTTCTTTATAAGACGATCTCAAGAGTTCATTTTTGTCCAGTAGATTAAATCCTTGGTTTAATATCTATAGCTAATTGATGTTTGTTTTATCTTGTTTTGTCAGCTGTTAAATAAAGATTCAACTGCTCTTTGTACATTCCAAGAATGGGTTGATAATGCAACTCTACTTTGACTCTAAAGACGAGAAAAAACACACACATTAAAGTGCAAAAGATATCAAAAATACATTACCTAATATCAATCTACGTTTCTATTCAATGAATGAGTTTAGTTGGTGGATATCAGTGAATACATTATTTAAATTATACCTCATGGAATCCCATGTCCATAAGCTGCTTGATTTTTTCATCACAATCAGGATCTGATGATCCAGCTAATAAAAAACAAACTCTTGAATTTGGTCAAGTGTCAGAGGATAGCAAAGTGTCTGTAAGTGGTTGGTAAATATTTGAAGTAATCCAATCTCAAAATTTGGTTGAGTATTCATAAACAAAAGAACTGAGTTGCAGGGGAAACAATACATTGATCTCTTGTTTCCCTGGAGTCTTGTCTTTGATTCTTTTGTGTTATGTTAATCAATGAAAATATGAAAAGTGTGGTCTTTTACCTCCTGCATATATATAAGCCCAGTGCCTTGCAGTTACATCATACGCTTTCCTATTTTCTTTAAACTGAAAATTGATCAATACTAAAGCTTTATAACAGTGTTATTCTCTGTTCTATCGTAAAACAATCTTACTTGTTTAGCCACAACAGCATCTTGTGGATCATCTGGTTCTGGTGAGGCCAGCAAAGACTGGAAATAAGAAAATCTTTATACAAAATGTATAATTCAAATTTATTATCAATGGCATTATACCTGAATTGATAATAGAACTGTTCTAAGTGTCATTGCTGCTGCCCTGCCCATCAAGAAAATAATGAATATTTAGCTGCATATTATATTTTCAATCAATTCTTCCAATGAGATTGGTCATGAAGAAGCAGAAATTAACTTTTCCCATCATGCTTTGTTCTAGGAAATCGCCTGATTTATTTGTATTTAACTCAACAACAAGATAAAAATAATGTTTCTTGAATCTTATTACCATTGATCTTTCAAGATATCCAAACAAATTGCACCAGTTACAGAGCTAATATTTGGATGCCATATTTTAGTTGTAAATTTTATCTGCAGAAAAATAGCAAATGAAAAAGCAAGTTAAAACAATGAAAAGCCCAGTGGGAGGAATTAATAAAGATTACTGTATTGTATTATAAAACAAATGATGTAATGCACTGCAGTTTTTAAAATTTAAATTTATAATCTAATACCTTTAATACATAATCAATTCAAATAATAATAATTCAAATCAATTGTATAGCATTCAAATTATAGTATAAACACTGTACCTTTGGTGGATTAAAGGGATATGTTTCAATCAATTGTATAGCATTCTAATTATAGTATAAACACTGTACCTTTGGTGGATTAAAGGGATATGTTTCAGGGATAACTATATCCAATTTGTATTTTCCACCTATGAATAGAAGTAAACATTTGTACAAATATCATTATCGGAAATTTACCAAAGAAGGAGAGAGTTTGAAACTACCAGATAACTATAGAATCTAACAGGAAGTGAAAGTTGTAAAGAAAACACATAATTAGGATTGCTTCAATGCGATGCAATACAATACTGATTTGATAATCATTCTATCACCTTAAAAATCCAGACCTTTTATAATGACAACTAGCCAAGACAGTATATATTTTTTTGTACTCATTTGATTATATCTTGCTCAGTCACTTGACCAAGCTTGTAGACCTCCAACCCTTTTATCTTCTTAACAGTTGTGATTTTAAATAAATGGCATTTTTAAGTATTTTGTAGCAATTTCAGTGAATGTATATAGGATTGGATGTAAGGAGCAAATTCATTGCAAAACGCCTCCTGCATATTGTCTTATGATAGAACATAACAGATCAAAACATGCAAAAAATTACATGCATTTTCTTTGAAATGATTTCTCATGAAACTGTCAATGTGGAGATCATGATACCCAGCAAAATGGACATTTTTAAATGTGGAATTGTGTATTTTAGCTAATAAGCTACTTGACATCTCAACCAAATAATCACATCAATAATAAACACATAATGAAAACAGATTGCTACTTTAAAATTATTATTTTTGTTTTAATGACAGGTGACCTTTGATAATTTAATGTCAGAGTTTGTAAACTTATCTAATTATTGAAAAAGGACTGTACAAGAAGGGCTATTTGGAACTCTATTAATGTATAATGAATTTGTTCATAAAAGTACAAATGAAAAACATGATAGAAAGTAGAATATTCAAGTAAAAATTCACACACACAGCTTCAACAAAACTTTACCAAATATTCGTACAAAAACAAAAATTTGCATTCGTGATTGAAAGTAAATATATTCGCATATAATTAAGAAATGCTGACTGACATTTTTTTGTCTCCATGCTTTATGATTGTATATTTGTTTATGAGTTCAAGGAGAATATAGGTATGATGTCAATACTTCAATTATGCAACCACATACCTTCGAATGGAGTGTCTGGAGGCCCTGTGATTTCTCCAGCCAGTCTAGTGTATGAATTATCTACAAGTTCTACTTTAATCTGACACTGTTTTGCCTGCAATTTGATTCAAAATTAGTATATGTAATACTAAGAAAAGCAATAGCGAGGCAATCAAGGTTTTTAGCTGGTTGCATGTACTTGTATCGATGTACAAGGTCTACAAGACTGTACAATCATCGCCATGCAGACTGAACTAGCAAGTGTTACAACAACTTATACCTCTTCACTCGAGATTATCTCCCTGAATTCTCTTTGAATCCTTGAAACTGCAATATTAGTCATAACTTCTAGTGATATTATGAAACGATAAGTAACTTTTTTAAGTGAGTTCAGCCACGTTTTCCGTACATCCCTTACTCAGTCACTAATTTTACAACTTGCAAGTGCGGAAGTTGACCTAACTGACCGCATTGGATTATGGTTACTACAGGAAGCCCAAACATGAATTTAGCTGTCCACAGGTAGCTCTACTTTAATGCTCTATCTTATTAGACTTACAATATTTAAAGCTCCACGTTCAACCTAAAACCTTTGCGCGTACAAATCAAGGATTATTTGTAAAACAAAATAAACGATAACAAATGTTCTCGGATTGTACCTTTAAATTTACACGACCTAAAATCATCAGGTATATGTATTGGAAGTAAAAAAGGACAAAGTTTATTTTCATATAATTATATGATAAACAGAACATTACGCAGCTCATACTAGTTTATCGCTAGTTTACACCATTTGGAATATTACATGGTCGCTTGGAGATATGTATTTTATCTTCTCGTGTTGAAAAGAAAAAGGTTTAAGATCTTTTCAACACTCGAAGATAAAATAGGTTTCTCCGCTCGCCCATGTAATATTCTCTATTTCTATGGTGGGAACTAGCGGTAAACTAGTGTGAGCTGCGTCGGTGTTTCTAAAGAAACAGTTGTGGAAAAAGATAAATTAAACACCGTACAAAAGTATAGGCGAAATAACTTACTGACGTTTCGGACGTTAATCCTTCGTTAATCCTCTTTACTCCGACGAAAGATTAACGTCCGAAACGTCAGTAAGTTATCTCGCCTACTTTTTTTACGGCGTTTAATTTATCTTTTTACACAACTTCCTCTATTTCTGTAACTAGGGCAGCGCGTCATCACGTAGGTGAACCAGGGACGTGTCCAGGGTTCACATCTAAAGCGTGAAAAAGCTGTTACTGCAGTATCTGCAAATTTTCAAAGACTTGGTATACAAAGAAAGGGTAGTTCCGAAATCACTGGAAATCCCATGCTCACGTGCCTGTGAACACTAGCAGCCCACCGACATTTTCTGATGTTGAATGGGCTACCTATGGTGACATGCGGTTATGAGATGGGAAGTTGGACGGAGAAACAAGCATACTACAAGAACTTTTATTCATCCTTTCACATCCTCGTAAAGAAAAAAGCAGTGTTGTATATTTATATTTTAAACTCAAAGAATGCTCAAAACGCTTTTCATGTTATCACTAACGTTACATCCTTCAAGTTTCCACTTTAAAGCACCGAAGTCAGTTTCCTCCAATACCGTTCTTCTTGTAGTCTCGTCTTCGGTTCCTCCATTCAAGAAGCTGTAAAAGAATCTTTCAGAAAAAGCTGCAATAGCAAAAAACATGTTCAAAGTTATGGTTTTACTCTTTTCTGCGATATCGAGCATGTTTAGTATTTCGTTGACCTGGTGTACTGTGATACTTTGCGCATACAGGTCGCGCATGGCTTTGAGCAACTCTCTATGATTGACATGACCATCTTTGTCTTTGTCATTCTTCATGAAATAGTGTCTAAAAAGCGTTTTTCTACGGTTGTTGATTCGGCAATACGTAGAAATGTATTCCAAGGGTGTCATGTTTTCCAGAACTTTCATGTCCATAGGCAGTTCAAAGCGACACCCTTTGCGTGTTAAGGAGAGAGGGCCCTGAAGCCAAGCTCTTGTTTCACTGTTAAACCCTGTGCGTTTTGTCTCTTCTTCTTCATAGTTTTCTGTTATCTTTTGACCCTCAAAAGACGACGCTTGAAGTGAATCGTTTAAACCAGTTGCAGACGAATAAGATATCGTTGACAATGTACGATCAATTTCACGCATTTTCGCGGTCGACCGATGTACTTGTACTAAATCATTTCATCGTACGATAAGACTTAATATTGCAAACATTCAGTTGTGAGCTGTCTCAAAACAGTCGAGTGGGCCGATTCTGCAATAATGGCGTCTTGACGGTGATTCGTGAAGACTAGGAGGGCTAGCAGCAGATGGCGTTTTTAGAAGTTGCACTAGTATCGTTTCAGCAGGCCATGCAATCAGAACTATCGTCGAAACGTAAAAAGAAGTTTTCCCAGTTTCAGTAATGAGCTTTTTGGTCTTGATTACAGTATTATAAATGTAGCAGCTTCAAATCTTGCAGCTTTTCTGATAATCTCGTATCTTTCATTAGTTGAAATGTCTATTTCCACGGATTATAACAACATCATTAACAAAATCGTCCAGAATTAAACCTTTGTACAGCGAAATATTGACAACTGTCCACTTCACAAGCGATTTTACAAGTTAGGATGATGATGACTTCTCAAACTGACTACATCCATACACCATACACGGCTTTCACACCTGCTTATGACAACCTGAATCTCAACCTGTTTTTTGAATAACTTCCTCACGAGAAAGGAAACTTTGACAATGTTGAAAGACGAAAACATATATATAATCAAGTAGGATTAAATTGCTTAGCGACAATACGATTGTACTTTTTGAAGGTCAATAAAAAGAGCCTTTTTGTTTAATTAATCTGACGTCAGGTCCTCTAGCTTTTTATTACATTTACCTTTAATAGTCATTTTTAGTGAAAAATGCATTTTCAAAACGAATACGAGGATATCGACATAGTCTAGGGCAAAACTAAGAAGTATCTAGCAAATTAATGATCATTATATAAGAAATATATATCATGTTTGAATACTGACTGTCATTTTAAGATGAATCTAAATTGCAAATTGTTCGTAGTCTAAACATTCTAAGCTAATACCTGTGTAGCTAAAATAAAGATCTATACTTCAAGTCCTATGGCCAGTAATACGAAAATCACTACAAATAACAATCCGCCAAATCAATTTTCAATCGGCATATGCGCCGATTTCTTTTCTAGTGCTTCAGGGCAAAATGTTAAAAACTCATTATTTTTCTCAATGCCGCCAGTCCTGTGATCATTTGCATTCTCTCCTACAGATCTTATACATAACACACAAAGAGGGAAGTTCAACGAGGGTCCCAGAAGATATTACCGCACGGGCGAACAAAGATGCGAATTTTATCTTCGAGTACTTAGCGTGAGATGACATACGTATCTCATGTGCTGTTCTATTTGTTATGTAAACTCCAATTTACTAGCATATTTACAAAAAGAGAAATGGGACAATCAGTAAAACCAGTATCCATGGTAACATGTATCGAGAGCCAGATTAATTTACCTGGTAAACCTTACCTATCGCAGTGCGTAATACCGCAGTACTTACAATTGATAAAAAGTAATCGTGCTAGTTATTAGATTGGAAGACAGAGTAAAGCGCCCACAATCTGTCTCTTAATGGTTGTGGCGGGAGTAACCATGGTAACTATCTTCAGTAAAAAACGTGTCATTCAGGCAGTAATAATGATATTTTTCATGAGGAGAAGAAACGGTTATTTTGTACAACAAAAAACCGGTTCCTTAAAAGGAAAAAATAAACTCCATAATTTTTTCATTAACAAGGCGTGCGAGACCTTTCTAGCGGAAGTAGGTGTATAGAACTCTCCCGAACATTGCCAACTAAACCCCTACAGCGCGAACAACAATTTACGATCCAAAACAGTGTCCATAAATCGATGTTGTTACAAATAATTAGTCTTAGAGTTTCTACTCTATATGAAACCCGTTCTGTTAATATGCATGGAAATGCCAGTTGTGATTAATTGTGCAGCAAATCTACAGTTGCACGCACTGATTTATGATTTCCCATGAACACTCGGGGTCACAAGACAAAAACAACTTGACCTAACATTCAGTTTGTTTAATGATGCAAGCTGTCCTGTTCACCTTTTGTACGTGCTTGAGTTTATTCATAAACAAACATATGTTTTCAAGTGTAGTAAGTTGTGAGACGATGCATGCAGGTGATCATGCATATAATTCCTATTGTTCCCACTTTTTTCATACTTGATTCTTCGATTTCTTATGCACAGTGAAAGCAATCATTGCATTCACGTTCCGTTTAATACGTTTTTTGCATGCAGACTGATCACCGAATCCCACTTCCCTTCCCTACTGTGCAATCCAGTATAATCAATTTTAACGCCTTATAGAATCCATGATACTATCTTGATGATTTGCGGCGCTTAAAGTAATCAACAAGGTGTAGTCTAGTGCCGAAAATAAAGATATTTGCAAATCAGATTTAGAGAAAAATTATGCTCCGATTGTGAATAGTATTCAACTCTTGTGCGCCCAAAAGATGAGGCAGTTGTGCTAAAATATAATAAATTGTCTTGTAAAATTTCAAGATTCCAATACACTTAAGACGCCAAGCATTTACGATAAAGTTCATGGCATGTCCGGTTTTTACTTGTCTTGGAATGCTAAACGTCTCCTAAATCTAAAGGTGCTTTCCTACAGAGCTGTCTACAAGATCAAGAGGTCGCAGGATAACAAACTAAACACAATAAATTGTCACTATAGCCTTTTGGGGCAGGTTCTGGAGAGTTTAACAGGCAGATAGCATCGATTGTGATAAGAGTTTTAAACACTGAAAAGTAAAAACTTGTATAATTTGTCGTGACTCGGCTCGGCGCTTCTTCAAGGGATTGGTCTCGTTGTCCATCGGTAAGTATTATACTGTGTTAGCTGAGCCCTCACTGTCCAGCCCAGTACAAACTGAAATACATAAAGTGCTGGTGAGAATCTTCACTGAACACTCGATGATAAAATTCGTATCTCCAGGTGCTAGTATATGTTATCTTTTTAATAACACAATGAAATAATAACTTTCTTCTTCAATATATATGTATAGTAATATTTTGCTTTTACCGTATGACTAGAAGCAACACTATTTTCAGTTGTAAAGATGGTAACTTTCTTAGTCTGATTATTCACTGAAATTTAGATATGACAAAGAAATGGATAAAAACTTAACAATAGCAAGCTACAACATTATCTGCTTCCATCACGGACTTGTCACAACAGAAGGTTGAGATCCACGCGAATATTTGATTTTCCTATCTACATTTTCCTATCTACATTTTCCTATCTACAAAACCGTTTCAGAGGCAGTTTTAAGTGAGACTAATCAATTAATAGATTCTTATATTTCACATCATATATTTGTTAAACAGTGGAAAATAAAGTGTGTTTGTATTTTGTTATTAATCATTCTGTGATTGAAAAAAATTGTGTGTATCTTGTATATCTCATTTCGTAATATCAATATTCTCATTCAAACTCTTCTGGTATTTCTCAAGAAGACCAAGCATCCTAAAGGAGGTCAACAACTCGCGGTGTGGGCTAACATGACGACACTGCCAGTAAGCTTCATCGACAGGCTGAAAAAACTGACAAAATCAAGTTAAACAAAAAAGCAGAAAATAAGATAAAAAACGAAAAAATGCAAAGAAAAAAGTGTCAACGTTTCTTCGATCATTCGACATATTAACTCATCTCTTGCGTTTTTGTACGCTTGAAATAGCTGTCAGATTACAAAAGATTACTAGGGTAAGGGTTAGGATAGGACAGGAGTTTATCAACATCATATCAAACTATGTAAGTTATTTTATGTCAGATATACGCATTCTGTAGATGGGAACCCAGTTAACAATGATATTGCACAAATGGTTTACATCTAGAATACCACACCTAGAAAATGTATAAATAACAATATACAGAGAAGGTAGATTTATGCAGAATATCAGTTTGTAATGAATCAAGTAAGATGTCAAAATGACATGTGCCATTTAACCAAGTGGTATTTTGATAAGATTACTGACAGTTATTAGTACGTTGTTCAAGGGTTTTAACTCAGTAAGCTCTATACCCCACTTAAGGTTCATACACGTTCACCAAGACGCATTGTGTAAAAAGATTTGACTGATAGCCAAGTTTTACAGAAACGATTTTCAGCGAAAGTTTTGAGATTATACCTTAATCGGAGGTTTTCTTTTGGTGTTGTGTCCTGAATCTCCACTCATATACAAACACTTTATTAATCTAGTGCTACAAAGTATATGCTGAAGATATATATTCCGTCCATGCCATACAACGAGATTTGAAATCAAACGTACTTATCGAGACAAAATATACAAACCATATAATTTTCCGTGTTCCCTAACTTCTTTTTTTTTCTCAAGCAGCTGTATTCAACAATGATTTATCTCGCAGTCCCCCGATACACTGTTCATTTGAAGGATTGTATGTTGACCGTGGTGTCCAACTGTAAGGCGATAAAAAAGAAAACAGAAAATGCCATCCAGAAGAAAAGATCGTTTTCGTGGATAGTATTCTGAAGATTTAATACCTCACTGTAAAATACTCATAGAATTTAAAATGTTCTTTCTAGACCTATTTTTTCTTGCAATTCCTAGGTTTAGTTTTGTATCGAAAGTTCAAAATCTAAATCTAGTTACCCTAGAAATATAGTGTATCACTAGCCTTTTACAATCAGTGATCTTTTCCTACAATGAAACATAACTATGTTACCATTAGTACTGAAAGCCTTCAATCATCACCAGCCAGGGCGCGTGCCTCGAATTATTTTGACTAGTTTGCATGAATTAAAACTCACGTAAGCAATGACGCAAATACAGTTCACACTAGAAAATTGACGTTCTTGGAAAAAGGCTGGCATCTTTTACTAAAAGGAGGACAGGAATCCGAAGACTTGTATTATATTATCTTTTTAGAAAAACTTCTACCTTTTCTAAAATGCTGGAGACTAGGATTGAATTAGAAAATCTTGATCTGAAAACTGGGCAGTGAAATCATGAATTGACAAGCAAACAAACTAAAGTCACAAATAAGAACTTTAAAAATAGATCCACAGATGAGTATACGTGCGAAAACAACAAGTGCATGCTTCACTACCTTACACACATTAAAGAATGTTTGACTCGGACATCATATTGATATATTGTCATCGCTTGCTTTCATTAGCTCAAGTTAGCCACAACTCGTCAGATGCGAATCAAGAAAATCGTCTATACTTGTGTGTTCTCCGCCCCCCTGTGTCTTCATTGAATTAAGGTGGTTGATTAGCTTTTGTTCTTATTTACTTATCAATTAACAGAGCATAGATTTGGATATAATAGAAAACTCCGCCTTGGTTTCATTAAGGATTACTTTTATCTGACCAATGTTTAGCCCCTTCATCCTGTTGTTTATATGTGACAAAATGACTTTGTAAAGCTCTTGTGTAAATTGCGTGTTGTTATCATTACGCCATTCTTTGACAGGAAGATAACTCGCTTGAAGGAATTCAGCTATGCATACTAAAGTTAACCAGTCTTTCACAAAAGACCGGAACAACACTCTTTTGTAAGAAAAAAAATTATTGTCACGAAGTTTGTCGTATTATTTTTTAAACATGAATTTTTTTTCTTTTACTCTCTTGGGGATATTTCGTGAAGTGTGCAGAGTTATCTGATTGGATGTTTTATAGCCTTTTAGACTTTGTGCATTGCACGTATATACTTTGTGCTTTCAAGCACATCCACTGTTCGTACACAGCATCAATTTGATCATTAACACTTTAGGCATTTACATGGTGTTTAAGTAGGTGTCAATGTTATTTTCTCACTGTTAACGTTGTTTTTAGAAGATAAATTCTGAGCTTCCCTGTAGAAGCATCACATTTCAACGCATTCCTCCAGCAAGTAGACTTGTCAGTTGTTTCATCTCTGGAAAGTGCGCGTCTTTCTCTCTCAAACACGCGCGTTTGTAAATACAAATTGAATAGCGAGAGGAAAAGTAGGTAATATTTAGCCAAAAAAATAGTGCAGTTCTATATTTTGTAAACTAAATTGAATTCTTCTCCAGATAACATCAAGATGGAACAAGCATCGTTTTTCGCTACTGTCCTTATATTAGCGGTACTACAGTGTCAAAGCGCTCCTGCAACGCAAAGATCGTCGGTAACACCATTGAAAGTACCATCATCGAATAGTGCTAGCGCCGTCAAGTCGAAATCAGTCTTGCCTTTATTAAAGAAATTGAAAGCCAAGTTAGCTAAAAAGAAAACCGAAAAATCATCTTGTAATACGAGAGACGTCGTTAAACCTCCCAGTATTGTATTGGAAAAAATGCTGTATTCTGAACGGAGATTTCTCATACAAATGAAAACTGGACAAGTCGACGCGGTTCCTGTTAACAGCACGACACGAATAAGCAATCCTTGGGGTAAGTTTGTTTGTAAGTTAACAGCGATTCATAACCGCTTTAGCCACTATTTTTCTCGACTACTTTAGTTCAGATCCGTATGTTCCTTAGTCTGATCATGATACGTCCACTCGATTTACACAAAGTTTTTTTTCCTTTTATCATGTTTCTGGAAGGTAAATCTTAAATCCTTAATCCGCTTGCGCTTGAATCGTTAAAACTAAGAATAGCGTGAGCTAAAGCAAAGAGGAACTTGCTGTGTTTACACATAAAAAATCATCTTACTGAATGACTTTGAACTTTGACTTTTTTCCAAAGCTTACCTTAGGTTACTTATCAATTTTTAATTTGATTCGCGGGCATGGCGTACGCCCTATCATTACGGATGTAGACTAATTCCAGGCGTAATACATTTAACTGAGCAAAAACGACCTGCAAAATTCCTTAATGATGTGTGAGAAGTTACTAAATAGAGAAAATTGCCGAGGGAACATTGTGTCAATAATCAGCTCTTTGGCAGTATTTCGTGCAGTGTTAGTAAAGTGTCATTTAAGCACGTAAGTGTAAAGTGAAAAGCACGTATGCTGGGTACTAAACTGACCCTTGAAATTGGATTTATACATCATCCCACATCATAGTACATAGGGAATAATCAGATTTTCTTCAATATTAACGATAGTGTATTGTCTTTGCAGTTGTATTCGAAGTGGAATCCGTAGGAAATGATCTTTTTAGAGCAAAAGGAAAAAGATCGGCGTTATATCTATCAATGGACAAAAAAGGGAAATTTTACGGAACAGTAAGTATTGTTATCAACTCAAGGTTTGCAAAGATACGTGCAATGTTTAGGGCACCGCAAACTTCGTGTAGTTATAAATAACCAAAAAAGGAGTGAAAACAAACGAAAAAAGAAGAGAGAGAGAGAAAAAAAGGGAAACATATCACGTAGGACCAAAAGAAAATATTACACAGTAGGAATGAACCTCATGTTGGTGCACGTCTTTAAAATGATAGTTGACTGAACTAAATAACTTAGATGTTGTTTAATCTTCATAAAATGACAGATTTTTCATTTACCTTTAGGCTAAACCCACTGATGAAAGTGTATTCAAGCAAATTCATGACAAAGAAAAAAACCATGGATTTATAGCATTTGAGAGCTACAAGTATTGCTCAAAGTACATTGGAATGAAAAAGAATGGTCACCTGAAGACGACGCATAGACTCAATCACAGCACACACTTTCTTCTACTGTAATATCATGATCAGGTATTATACATCATGAGATCTAGTGTAGTGCTATTCCTGACGCATTCAGTCACTTGCACCCAAACAGAACAGTAATAGTGCAGTGACTTCTTCAAGTCAATGAGAATCCCAGAAAACAAGTACAGTGGTTTACAGCAAATACAGAGATCCTCAGAATCATCAACATAATTTAATGATAGAATGACTCAGTAAGTCAAGAGATATAGTCTAATCAGTGTTAACCTTTAATATCCTGATATAAAGCTCACTGTATCATGTATATACCAATAACTATTATTCAGAATGTGAACAGCAACAGCAAAATTTGCATGGTTTTACACTTTTGTCATTTTTTCTCAGATTTACCAGCTATGTTAGTAAGTGCCTAATTTCATTTGTAACATGACGATGTTGTATCAGCTATACAATGACTTGCCTTGCATTGTGATTGGATAAGCTTAAACAGCATGGCTTCTACTGACATATGCAATCGACATTTGAAATGTGTATAACCCAATTCAATGCAAATGAAGCTGCTATAATATATATAAAATTAAGAAAGAGAAAATAAGAAAAAGTCAAGACAAAATGAAAATGAGAAAAAATGAAAAGAAATGAAGAAGGAAAGTAGAAAGGAGGAAAATAAGAAATATATCCATGCAATTGAAATCGAGATGTTACTCTGGTTAATGGAATGGAGTTCTATATATAACATCAAAATCTAGTATAATAGTATATAATAGTATTTAGTATACAATAGATTATTAGATAAATCCTTAGTATATAAGTTTTATGCTCAGATAAGCGTTTTATATTCATTGTAAAAATTGTAACAGAGTGTTTCATACCAAGCTTACTATAGACTTAAAATAAAAGTAAAGACTGTTTTATATTCAAATGTTATCATCCCTATAGACACATATCATAACCTTCTCATCATATATTTACATACTATATTCACATTTGAAATGCAGTAGTTTTGGAGTAAAAAAAGATCACAGACTCAATGTCGTATGCTGGATATGGCAAATGAGTTTTTGTGTATAAAAAAGGTTCCAGGGCCCTCTAGGATTTGCTCGAGGGTTTGCTTTGCGATCGTTCTTTGCTTTGCGGTTCCCAACAGTCAAGACTAAAATAAATATAATTTAAAACTTACGCTCAAGTTGACATCAGTAATTCAGTGTACGGTAGATGAACTCAGGCACTGGGATGGTGAAGTTTTGAGGTAAATTGTGCGAAATCTCTTCTGGTTGTATATTCGAAAGCACTGCGCGCGAAATTCCGGATTTCTGGCGGGAAAGAAGCTCTCGCGAAGTTGACCGCTGTACAAACCATAAAAATTATTCGCTTTTTAAAATCGGCTTAATGAAATTTTAAGGAACTTTGACTGTTGATTTATGTTTTGCAAGTTTATTTTATTTTATTTGTTATTCAGCTTTAAAATGGCACATCATTTTTGGTACTGGGCCACACGGCCGAACTCGTCGTCAGGAGTCTAGAGCCTAAGATATTCAAAATGGTGGACGTACTGAACGTGACGGACTTAGACTTGGAATGTACATTTGAAAAAGATTTAGTGGATGCCTTACGAGAAGTAGTAGATGGTTCAAATTGGCAGTGTATTGGCCATGCAGATGAATATTTGGATAAACATTGTAGTGTGTTATACGCGATAAATGAAGACCCTACAGAACGAAACGATAATATTGCTATTTTTAGTGTTGGGACTAAAGGCACGTTATACGCTATAGACACTGTCTGTCCCCACGAAGGTACTGCTGTAAAGGTTGTGTTTGTTTATTTCAACGTTATGATTATTTTACTTAAGGCTCACATTACAGGAGGACCCTTGGAGTTGGGCGATATTGAAGACCTCGACGGTTCACCTGTGTTATATTGTCCCTGGCATCATTATGATTTTAACTTGAAAACGGGCAAGTCTTCAACAGGTTTGGAGGTATTAAATAGAGTGTAAACATATTCTTAATGTTGTTAAACAGCTTCTGCCTACTTCGGGCTTCCTGTCTTAAAGATGGCACAGGAAGCCCAACACAGGAAAACTGACTGCAGTACCATCTTGAAAAGTGACTGTGCCATAAAACAAACTAACCTGCACACTAAAGAGAAATGAAAGAAAGTTATAGTGCTTAGAAGGAGGCAATTCCGGGAGAAAGACCCTTAGGAATAAATCCGGAAAAATTAATTTTTCTGGGATTTGAACCCATGACCTTCTATTTCACCCCGACCTGCTCCCAGTCAATCCCAGTCTGGCCTTGTAGCTCAGCTGGTAGAGCATCGGTAGTACAAATCCAAAGGTCATGGGTTTGAATCCCAGCGAGGTCGGAAATTAATTTGTCTGAATTTATTCCTAAGGGTCTTTCTCCCAGAATTGCCTCCTTCTAAGCACAAAAACTTTCTTTCATTTCTATATCATGTCTACCATAGTGCCATGCGGTCCTCATATTCATATCTTAACCTGCACACTTGCCAATATAAAAATCTATCACTGGTTGTCTCTTAGCTGCACAAATACCTTACAAGATGGCAGAGGGAACGATGAAGTAAACTATTTTATTGATAGTAAATGTGTCCATTTCAAAAGTAATCATCGTTTGCCTACCATACATACCTTTTTAAATCTTCTTGATATCTAGCAACAGACACATGAACTCAGAATTGTGGATAATAAACTATACATCAATGCAGATGTAAAGCTTTCAAGATCTCCACGTTCATTATCATCAGAAACAGAACAAACACCAGAAGGTGACATGACATTTTCTTGAAATTTTCTTTTTGCATTGCATCAATGAGCAATGTCTTCATCTTTATTCAGCAAGAAATTGTTCCTGCATCTAGTGACCCATGCTAATAATAAATTTAAATATATTCATTTTAGTATTTCCACTGAATATGAAAGTCAATAGCCAGCCATCAAAAGTTCATCAGTTCTGTAATGACTCTCTTTGTGAATGGGCTGTCAAGATTCTTAATACAGCAGATCCAGATGAAAAGGTACTAGTTTCATGAATGCAGTATTGCATACTACCACTTGGTTAACAACTTACATCAAACCTCTTGAAAGTTTATTATATTGTTGCTCTATTATGAATTCCAGATCAACCTCACTTACCAAGTTGCTAATAGATGGGAAACTGGTGACATAAATCATGTTGGTCAATGCTCACCACCTGACCAGCCTTGTCGAATAGAAAACTTGAAAGTTGTTTCAGCAGGAAAAACTAAGCGACTTGGTAAAGCTGGAAGTTTGGTAAGATATCATTTATAATGATATAATCAATTGGCAAAATGATTTCAGTTGGCTGTGTGAAGCATGACTATGAAGCAAAAATAGTTATTCTTTGAGTTGAAATGGACTATCAACATTATGTTATTATAATGATACTTATAATTTATTTTCTTAACTCTTAACCTTCTGAACAAGTATAAAATATTTTTAAATATTTTTAGCTATTAAAATAGCTAAACTTCATTCTAACAATAACCACAGGACAACATATAGGTGGTGGGCATCTCATTTATTCGTGCATGTCTCATAGAACAATACAGAGATATGATATCATTTACAAAGCAGTGTATATGGTCAAATTAGAAAGGCATTACTATTCATGCCATGGTGTACAGCCAGGTAGAATATGAACTGCGGAAGTTTTTACACCCCAAGTATAAACTTCTTATTTGAAAATATAAAACTTGAAATTTGCTCTCAGAGTATCAGTATACTAATTGTGAGATACCGTTGAATGAATAATTCTTCACACTTGTGTACTATATATACTCTGCATGGGAAATAACCCTAGGAAACTCTCATACCTTATCAACCTGCACGGTTATATTCAATACTCGATTGATTACATTCCATAATGCTACTAAATACATATATAGTTCCAATGAACGTCTCCATGGTTACTCATCAAGACCATGGTATACCATAATAATGAGTTATTTTCAATTATTACAACAGGGTTCTAGAATCAGTTTAATCCACTCATTGGCTAATATAGAACAGTGGGCCATCGATCTATCTTGGGACATTATTGCTAGGTTCTCAGGTACAACTCAAAATAATGGACAAGCACTTCCAAAAGACTTTTTCTCAGATTTTGTAAAAGTTGCCAAAGATGAAGCAAAGGCAAGTTTCATTTTGGTTAAGCATCTTTCTGGTATCTAAGTTTTGAGTGTCTTGCTAAAATACATCACTGTCGTGGTCTTTTTTTGATAATAGCCTCCTCTGCAGGTGTTTCTCTAGCTTTTTTCTAATATTTCTGCAATTAAGTCATCTCACTTCTTGGCGGAGCCCAAGGCCTGCTTGGCCAAGAGGATACCAGAGGGATCACAAAAGGCCAAAATGAAGGGTAATGTCTGTGGAGGAGGCTATGTCTTTCTTAGTTTGCTTTAATTTTCAAATCGTGTGCATGATGAACAATGTTTCTCTGGTTTCACAGCATTATAAGATGTTATCTTCCAGGCTGAAAACATTAGGTAGTCAATTTGGTGATCTTCCAGTTCATAATGGTAAATTTAATTTTATGTTGTTTTTTTCCAATGGCATAAATATAATGTTTGTTTCTTTGTTGTTATATTGGGAGACTGGTGAGAGTCTCAGGCCCAATCTTTTGGAATTGCCCACTATTATTTTCTGTCAATTGGTATTCTATCAGTTAATCAAAAAAATGTTTGAAATAATTATTGTCAATTTTTTCAGGTTTATGGGAGTCAGCTCAAGAGACATCTCATAGTTTGTTAAGTAGATTAGCTATTGTACACATGGTGCATGAAGCAAGGTGATTATATTTTTTGTACACTTTTTGATTATCTACAGTGTAGGGTACAGTTCACCTTATAGATCAGCACTTGTCTTCCATAACATTAAAAAAATGATTGGAATTTCCTTTCCCCTCTTCTGTTTGTACTGAAACCTTGTGCTGATTTTGTTACTTATATAGTACTCTTCATTTTTGAATTTGCTACTGCTGACATATTTTATATTTTTATATACTCAAGTTTTCCTAAATGTTTGTTAGGGGTCTTGACGTTCACCCCAAAACCTACAGAAGGTTTCTTAATAGTGGTGACCAAGAAACTGCAGAATTACTTGAAGTACTCTACAAAGATGAGATAACACATGTTGCTGCTGGCATAAAGTGGTTTAGCTTTTTATGTGAAAGCACAGTTCCTCCTCTAGTAAGAATGTATTTACTGATTACCAACATTAGAACTTCAGTATTCAATGAAAGCTTCTTTTGCCTTTAAGGATAAAATTCCTGTTTTTCATGAGTTGGTTAGAAAACACTTCAGGTAAAAAAGCTCCAAAATTTGTTAATGTATATACTAGACTTAATTCAGCTTGTAATACCATGTTGTGTGATCTTTAGAGGTTACCTCAAGCCCCCTTTTGACACAGCAGGTAGAAAACAAGCTGGCATGACTGAAGCAGTAAGTGTTATCTTCAATCATATCATATTCATATATCTACTGCAATGGATATTTTTCTATACTGAGTGATTACATGTATATGTTATTCCACAGGACTCTAAGACATGACAAGTGTGTAAATGAAGTTGTTTTTTCTTGCAGTGGTACCTTCCATTAGTGAAGCAAAGCTGATTAGTGTAATAGTTATTAATAGAATGCATAGAGATGTTTTTTTATTAATTTATTATTTTTTCATGACTACTACGTAGGTATGTACATATTTTTTGAATTATTATTAATATAATAAAGCAAATTTCAATTTTATAAAATTTTATCATAGATAAGTAAAAATATTTTAAGGAGATTCTACAATTTTACTGTTTGATTATTCTCTTACTATTACATGTAAAATATTTTTAATGACAGTCATCAATATAGTTGAAAAGTACAGCTATAAAAATACATCATGTGTTGTGCATAATAAATATGTACAATTTATATTTCAAGAAATGTTAAGCCACTTCTTTGGCTTACTTGTAAATAACAAATATTCCTGTTTAATTTGTGATTTGTCAATTTTCAAAATTTGCTCAATCAAAATAAGTATAAAAATTTAACAGTGTGTCAGTATTTACATTGTTGGAGTAGACTCATTTTAGGAATACTTTTAGTTGACCAGCATGCATTTCTTCATATCTGAAATGAAATAATCATATTTAATTGTACTTTAATTTACCCTTGTACCTTCTAAGACTATTTCTGTTAAAACTATCTTTAAATCAGACCTACAGTGATCAACAAGAACCCCCAGCTTCCTGTAATATTCTCCCATAAGCCGTGTGCCTTGATTATTAATAAAATCTTGACTATTAGTCCAGTCAAATTACGGTTTGACCCTAAACAAATTGCAACAAAAGGTTTTTTGCTTGAATATTSCTAATAATGACCTCCTTAACAASATATAAAAAGTCCCAAAAAATCGGAGTTCGGGAAAGCTTAGAAAAGCAGATTCGAAAATTTGAATAAAACATATAGGAAAACCACAGGGAGCCCGGTTTACATAAAATGAAACAAAGTAGGATTTAAATTGTTTTTAACGCCGAAAATAATAAAAAAGCCAGGAATGTATAAATACCTCTAACATAAATAATAGATATATGTTTCTTTATCAAAAAGTGCAGTCATTATTTAATTTCGAATAACAAATATCAACTGTTATTATTAACAATGTAATATAACAAATATCACACAACAAATTAATATCGTTTGAAATCCTAGGCTTCTTTAGTGTTTAAGTAAAGTAATCTGAGCACAGCAAACTAGCTTTTTCAACATCGCTCATTCTGACTCTTCATCGAGAATTGGGGCAGGTGAATTGGTACAACTTGACCCTTTGCAATGTCCACAGGCTAAGGAGCATTGAAGATTATTCTTACGACAAGAACATCGAGAGGTACTGCAGTCAAGCGTGCAATTGCAGCGCACGATTTTAAGAATAGATTGTGGTGCGGGAGGCTGATCCGTCATTACTGGTGTAAGATGTTCACCATCCCGCCGCCATCCCCAATCACCATAGTGCATTCCTGGTTTCTCTTTCCATTCCATTATTTGGAAATACACTCGTAGGCTATGGTACTTTGCCGCTCCGGAAGAAGGAGGCAAACTCTGTGCCTGTAACGACGACTTCTTGCTCGCCAATTTCTCAATGTATCGCTGGTATCTAAGCTGATTGAGATTCTGCCCATGTTTGCCACCATAAATACACACCAATGCATTCTCTCCAGCAGCTGTTATCTCTTCTGATGTAGAACTTTCGTTGTCAAATATCTTGGCTTGTTGCTGAAAATAATCTGAGGTACTAAGCTTTTTCAGTGACGCGCCCTTTCCTATGCCAAATAGACTAGAGGTCGTGTCGCACCCGAGTAATGCGTGGATAAACAGCACATGGCGACATACCTCTCCCCCTAACTGACGCTTGACTTGTATTATGTTCCACACTCGTCTTCGCGTCGAGTTGACCTTTGGCTCTGGTCGGAGGTATAGATTGTGCCCGTCTTCCCGTGTATAGTAGAGCAAGAGCACCAATAGGTCGGTGTCATCTCCTACAAGAACTGTGCTCTCCTTTAGCGCAAGTTCTACAGCGCTCTTTACTA